ACACACACACACACACACACACACGTTCCACTTCACACCCTTGGTTACTTGCTTGCCTCCATCTCACTGATGATTTCATGAGACAGAGGAAGACAGTTTGTCATTTGAACTGGTGTCCAGTTCTGTTGCTGGGCTAAAAGCTGCCCCCTGTCTTGATTCCAGGCAGTGACGGGCCGCCGCTTTGGGGACAAGGACTTCCGCAGTGGGCTGGAGAACGGGATCCTGCTGTGCGAGTAAGTCTCACTCCTCTCTGATGTTCAGCAGACATTTCATGTTTATTACGGGCAGTCTGTGTGGATCGTAAATGAACTATCATAGGCCCTGCAAGATGCCCATTGGTTAATGATAAGTGTTTAATGTACATCTCTGGGTGACAAGCATTCAGAAACTCCCCCGGGCTGGCATTCAATCCAGAATGCCTTACAAGTCGAAGACAAAATTGTAAATTATTTAGGACAAAAGTGACAGTCATTCTATGGGTCGATACACCTCTTAATGATTGCTTTTACATTTGGATTTGTTGTCTGGCTTTCAGTAAAGCCATTTACTATGAGAGAAGGTTGTTAGCCATATGACATTTTTCATGCCATGGGGGCAGATGTAAAGATTAAGCTCCTTTGTGATTGGCTGTTCCTGAACAAAGGGTCTCTGTGTTTTTGCCAGTCAGCCTGCATAACTGAGTATCCCCTGTAACTCCTGGGGACTCTGCACACGCTATGTGCTACTGAGGGGAGCCTTAATCATTTTTGATTGTCTTATGGTAAGTTGTATAAACTGCTATTCTGCTCCCAAGATAGCAGGAGAATAGCCTCACTGTACTATACTATAGAAAAATCCACAGATATCGATTGAGATCATTATGTAAGAACCCTTTTTGGGGGGTTTGGTTTTAAATCGATAGCTTCGCAATAATTTCCTTGCTTGAGATTTTGTCCGTGTCCTGACGTGAACGTCTGAGCCACAGAAGGCTCTCGCTTTTGGGTGCATGTCAGGAACGCAGCCCGTCTGCTGGTCATTATGGCTGAGGGCTGTGGGGCATTTCTGGTTCACAGTAACAGACAGCGAACAGCCGCTGTTCCGAGGACGGTGCCGTGTGGAACGCCGGGTGGCATAGGTCGCTGCTGGATTTTACTGACCCGGCTGTGTGGCTTTAGCTCACAAGTTGGAGGGGGGGGGGATTCCTGTGGTGTAGTGGTGTTGGGTGCCACTGTAGTTTTACTAGCCTGTCTGAGCACACGTGTGCAGTTTTTATATGTTGTATGTTGTGATCTTGTGTGAGAGGTAGAGCACAAATGTCTGACATTCTCAGTTGTTAATGTGATTTTTTTATTGTTACTGTACATCTACTTCATTCCCTACTTCTATTCTTGGCTGGAGCAACTGTATCGAAACCAAATTTTCCCCCAGGACTAAAAAAGTATTTCAGTTCTGATTTTGATTCTGTGTCAGTCATTTTATTGTCTGTGTATCTGTCAGGGGTCCAGTGCCTTTTGTTCTTTTGTGTGTTTATTTGATCTTGGTGTCCCTCTGCCTTCATGTCTTCATGCTCGTTCTGTGTGTGTGTGTGTGTGTGTGTGTGTGTGTGAGACTGAATCTGTCCATCTGTCTCGCTACACATTGCTGCTTGTAGGAGTCTGGCTGTCTGAGCATTTTCACGCCCCTGTGTGTGTCTCCCGGCGTCTCAGATGTCCGGCAGCTGTTTGTTAGGCTTACTCTCCAGATGCATGCTCCGGTGCCCCCCCCTCCCCCTCCAGCCCCCACCCCCACATGGAGGCTGCTCAACTGCTCTGCCTCTTTCGCCCACTGGCCACTTTCTCAAGGGTCTCCCTGCTGTTTCTCTCCCACGTTCACAGTAAAGTATGTGAAAGCGTCAGATATTGCCGTTTCCAGTTTGCATGCGCGGACATGCGTCCAGTTAAGTGTATTAAAGCAGACTCCGTGGTCACTGGCGATAGACAGGGTGAGAGGCTGCTACTTTCTTCCCTAACTGCTGGCAGTGTGAGCTGGCTGTGTAGTGAAGGTGTGCACTGACTGTTTTCTGACAGGGTAATGAGCATTAAGACACGTGGACCAGTTCTGCTGCCCAGTATCCACGATGGAGGGAGAGCCTGTGTGTCCAGCTGGACAGGGTGTTCTCTGTGGGGGGGGGGGGGGTGGTATTGTAGTGACGGAACATGTACTTTTGAATGGTTTTCAGTTCCTGGGCTTTGGATACACATGCTTCCTCATGGATAGTTAATGCAAATGGATCCAGAGTGTGTGTGTCACGCGACCTCCCCTTTAAGTGTCAAGTGTGTGTGTATGTGTGAGTGTGTGGGTGGATTATGTTTATATTACATTGTGGGGACCAAATGTCCCCCCTAATAAAAACCTCTTATTTTGATGTTGTTGGGACTATTTTTCCAAGTCCCCACAAAGATCTATGAATGCTTTCAAAAACTAAAAATGGCGACAGTCTTGTATTTAGTTTGGTTTGGGCTGGGTTGGGAATAAGGTCTTTTTGGGATTAGAGTTTTCCCCCATAGAAATTAATGTTGAGTCCCCACAAAGATATATCATTACAGATCTGTGTTTGTGTGAGTGTGGGTGTGCGTGCGTGTGCTTGTGTGGGTTCCGTTTGTCTAACGTTGTCGGGTGGTGGTGTATTGGTACATGACGGGTAGATTGTGAGTCAGCCACAATGTCAGTACTTCACACGCTCACAGCGGCGAGCTCCTTTTATGGCTTCCACCAGCCCCACCCTCTGGGCCAAGTGGCATCGGATCACATGGGAAAACCCGGCCAGTAGTGGTGTGCATTCTGCTGACCTCCCCCCCCCCCCCCCCCTATGGGCTGTGGCAGGTGCCACTGGGCGGCCAGGTGATCTTGGTAACCCCAGATTCCTGTTCCTGTCATGCCAGCCCGGGGTTCTTCTCAGGGAGTCCCCGCAATCGGCAGGCCAGGGGCAGCCCTATGCCTGGCCCCCATCAAAAAGGGCGTGCGTCTTCCCCCGCTTCCTTTTGCCCTTTTATCTGACGAGGTGGGGGGGGGGGGGGTGACAGTTAAACAAAGCATGCACACCACCCCCCTCCCCACCTTGCGGTTTCCCACAGCGCCACATGGGCCTACGAAGCACTTGTGCTGAGCTGACAGATTTGGAGCCGCTGACTTCAGTACTGCGGGTGTAAACATTCGCACGGGGCACTATGTCTGTGAGCGTGTGTGGGGGGTGGCCGAGGGACGTGGCCGTGCACGAGAGGCGTTGTGTGTAGGCGTGCAGGATGATGTCTTCAGTCAGGTAGTCGGACACAGCAGAGCAGGGCGGCGCTTATGAAGAATGGATTTCTTGATATTTTTAAGGCCGTGTGAGACAAATTAGCCCTAAATGCAAAATTGCAGGTAGCTGGTAACGTATCACACGGGATTTGGTGTTTAATTCATCCCATTACACCGGCCAGACATCAAACATGTGATTTTGACGTCATTTTCAAAAGCAACGCAATTCTGATATTTTAAAAGCTCAGCAAAACAATTTGCCGAGCATGCATGGGGCGGGGAGGGGGTTGAAATTTAATGCTGAACAGCATCCCCCCCCCCTCCCCCATGATTGGCTAATTTTGTCACCAAGATCTCAGATAGGAGGTTCCTCCAGGGCCAATCTCCAAGATGACTTCATCAACCCCCCCCTAACATGTAGGCCCCCCACCTCCTCAGCCTCGGTCTTATCGGGACAGCACTCCACCCTATTCCCACACCAGTCTCTTGTTGAAATTGGGTGTGGTGGTGGGGGGGGGGTGCTTGCTGGAATTACATCAGCCTCTCGTTACTTCCGTCCGAGACTCGAGCGAGAGAAGGGGAGGGGGGGGAGCTTTTGCCCAGCACATCTCCTCAGGCTTCTCCTCAGGAAGCCTCCTTCCCCCGTGGGTGGAAGCCCGGAAGGATGCACCGTGCTGCAGGTGATGCTCAGAGGGGATGCTCTGCACGCTGCTCTCTCACTTTCTCCTGAAATGCATTGCAGGATGCGAGTGAACATTGCAGGTTGGCGGCCTTGTGTGTTGAATATGGTACAAATGGTCTTGATTCTCTGCGCCCACCAGCTAGCCTACGCACACTTGCCCTGCTCAGGTTGATGTCCTCCTTATAAAACTAGATTTCTCCTGTGTATACTTTTAGCTTTCATGGGCCTTGAGCTCAGCCAGTGAATTTGAGAGTTTGGCTCTTGGTAGATGCAGTCATCATGGGTTAAGCCATTAATGCGGCCAATGGCTAGTAGGTTGAAACAGACGTTAATTAGCAGCCGCGGGGGTCTTCGTTTGGCCTGAGGGTACAGTGTCCTCTCTTGCTCCCCACAGGCTGCTGAGCTCCATCAAGCCGGGACTGGTGAAGAAGATCAACCGGCTTCCGACCCCCATCGCCGGACTGGTGAGCCGATGTCTAGCGTACACTCCTCTTTCTCTGTCTCCCTCTCTTTTTTCCCTCTCCCACTTTCCTCCCTCCTACTTTCTCTGTGATGTCTGCTGCATTTCATTGCCCCACAGAGAGCACTTGTTTTGCTGCTTTAGTTCTTTCTAAAATGACCCCAATATGTCCGGCTCTGTTGACGATTCCTGGTCTCTCAGTCACAGGGGCGTCCGGCTTCTGCCGAGGCCCCTATCTCCGTTTCTTCTATTCCGCCCAATCAGAGCGCTGTCACAAGGTCAGCCTCCGTCACATGGGGATCAGATAAGGCCCCCACCTCCACAATCCCACTGTCCTGCCTTGGGTCTCCCGGCTGTGGTCCATATATCACAGCTGTAGAGGCAGCCGACATTCAGGCCAGTGTCCTGACCTTGGCACTCATACCTACGCAAGGCCGCCTGATTTACGATGCCGTCCGCGCAGGATAGTCGCATTCCTGACTTCCGCGACTCCCTGGAGACGACACGAATCGGCGGTCTCCAACCGCAGCTCACAGCGTTAGCCGAACGGCGGTACACTTGACGGTATGCGGCGACTGTTTGCCAGAGATGACTTTCGGGTGACCATGCCAAGTGTAGCGATGATTGATGAGGTCCGTCAGATCCTTTCAGCTGTTTACTGAAATGTGTTTCGTTTCAAAGCGACCCCCCCCCCCCCAATATTTCGTCTCGAGGAAGGAAGCTCCCCTGATCCTTTGTTCTTTTCATTGTCCTCCATGATCTTAATGACGCTGGAGGCCGTGAGATTCCCAGCTCCATGGCCGGAAGTAACTGGTAGAGGTGGGAGAAACCTCCTTCAGCAGTTTTCTGGGACGACCCGCAGGAGTGGTTCAGAGCGGTGAGGTCATGGGGGTATTGTAGGAACCACAGGTGGTCATTCTTATCAACATATTTGCGGAATTTCCAACAAATGATCCTGTTATGGAGAACCTTTGAAAGTCTCCTCCCTACTGCGGACCGGATGTTGGTCTTCCCCGTGTCGGGTCGCCGTGGCACCGGGTGTGGCTGTGAGGGTGGGGCGGATGATGGCAGTCATCGTGCCAATAGTTTAAAAAGAGGAAAGAGAAGACAGACGCGGAGATATGAAGGGCGGACCTCAATGCGGCAGCCACCCAGGAGATGTTTGCCTTGGCTCCATTCCCTGGCCTCTCATGGCCATTAAGTGTAGGTGTTTGACAAGCGAGAGTAGCTCTATGGATGTATTCCAAGCAGCCGTGGTACTTTTTACGACATTGTAACTCAATAACAATGCAGTGGGCGATTATCGCTGAAATCGCGTACGTACCGCGAAGCATGTGGCTGCAACTGAACGCGTACAGCACACAGATGGGGTCAGAAGGTTCATTGACTTGTGTCGCTAAGCATTAGAATGGCTCAGGCACCTGAGCCAGGCGATTTTGAAAGCCGGAGCTGTACGCCAAAGCTAGCAGGAAGGCCACGAGTGCAAATGTAACAGCTCGCTAGGACATAAGGCTTCAGCCTACCTGGTGCTAGCTAGGTGTACCTAATAGCTAATGGCTAAGTGGCTAATGAGCTGCTTTGCGTTAAACGCGTTAGCTTCGTGGCTAAACGTCAGCACCGTGCACTTTCTTGGGGGGTTTCAGCCCACAGCTGAAACGGGTTTGAATTTCCTTTTCGGACTCAGGTGTTCTCCTTAGGGCTTGTTCCCCTTCCCTGGGGCTTGTGTTTCCCGGCAGGTGCTGAGGGTCCCCCACACTCACACTGCGATTGGTGCTGTTAGCTTTAGCCGCCGCGCACAGAAGCCTCGCCGCTAAGGCCCTCGCAGCCGTCACCGTCCAGCCCCATTTCTGCTTAGCAGTTCCTATCGTTTTTTTTCCCACTAATTCTCTTTGACGGTACTGCGTGTGTTTATTTTTGCCGAATATTGTTCTTGGCATCAAAGGACATGTGTTTCTTTTGGGAAGGAAAAGAAGGAGAAGGAATTTCTTGTTTGGGTTGGGAAGTCCATGCCTGTACTGAGATTTTTTTTTCTTCTTCTCATTTACCATTGTTTTCTTGGCTCAACCCAGCCCCCCCCACCACCACCTGCCTGGCTGTCTTCTTGCCCCCCCCCATGCCTGACCAGTGGTCTGTAACAGTGTTTCCCAATCCGGTCCTTGGGGACCTGTGGACAATCCACATTTTTGCTCCCTTCCTGCTTCTGAGTACCGGTACACGTAATGAAACTAGCAATACCGAACTGCTGTTTTTCTATATGTTTTTCTATATTAGTATATTTCCTCTGTATTGTCCAGAACTCACAAAGTGATGTGTACGACAAGTCAAATAACTTCATGTCATAGTCCTGTCAGCTTAGTTTCTTGCTCTTCTAGATCCAGATTTTCTTTGTCAGAATTTCTTATTCAGCACAGTTTTGGAGCAGGATGCTTGCAGAGTTCAGAGTATTACTGCAGATTCTGGGTGTTCTGCCCTAGAAAATCTTTGCGGACAGTGTCAGAGCTCCTGTCTTTTCACTGATCATTGACACAGGAGAACGTGGTCTGACACAGCTTGTTGGAATAGAATAGCTTTTTCCTCAGTTTGGTAAGTGGAATGCAGTAGAACCAGTAAAATCAACAAGACACCCTGTGCCGATTCCACGAAGATTGGCCCTGTGCTCCACTAAGCAAGCTTCAGACTGAGGTCAGCTTCAGACTGAGATTAGCTTCGGACTGAGCCATCACCGGTCTGAGGTCAGCTTCAGATTGAGGTCAGCTTCGGACTGAGCCAGCTTCGGACTGAGCCATCGCCGGTGTAAGGTTAACTTCAGACTGAGGTGAGCTTTAGATCAAGGTCAGCTTCAAACTGAGCCATCGGCGGTCTGAGGTCAGCTTCAGATTGAGGTCAGCTTCGGAGTAAGCCAACTTCAAATCTCAGGCATGCCATTTGGGTTTTTGTTTGTCCAGAATGGCTTATATTCAAAGCTTTTTTGTTATGTTCATTTAAAAGTATATATTTTCTTTTTTAAGTTTGTAACTAGTAAAATTGAACTACAGTACGTTAATAACATTAAAATCAAGATATGTGTCTTTAAAACAGGCTTCAAGGATGGACTTTGTTTTGACAAAATGTTGCTCCAGCATGAGCTGCGTGTTTTTATTTAATCTCAGATCTTTAGATCTGTGCTTCTGCATCCCAGACGTGGTGAGTCGTGCTGCTTCACAGCGCTGTGACTAATGGAGCACACTAGGCTTCCTTACCGGTATTCCCTCCTCCTGCCGTAGGATGGCGAAAGGAAGCATCGCCAATTTGGGCCCTTGGGCCGGGGGCAAGTGCCTCCATCGAGGCCCAGGCTGGGCCTTCGGGGCTGGGCCTTCGGGGCTGGGCCTTCGGGGCTGGGCCTGCTTCACCTGCACCTCTTTTTAAAGGCACAGCACCCATCATCTGTGTGCCAACTTAACGTTTTATCTGAACCCTCAGCACAGTATCTGCTTTACCTTTCCCTGCTCCACTTATATCATGCCCACTTACACTGGAGCCCCAGTCTAAGTACCAGATTCTCTCATGTTGTCTGTAATTCCCATGATGATGCTCTACTGTCCGTTTTGTGTTTCCGCCTGATGATGAAATTATTATTATTATTGTTATTTCTGTTTTTTGACTCCTTCATTCCATTCTTGCTTTTCCAAAGTGACGTGCGATTGAGAGAGTAGGGTCATACACTCCCTGGACCGACTGAGGGGTAGGGGCTTTGCTCAGAGGTCTATCGGCGAAACCGCCCTGCCGACCCTGCTGTTTGAACCAGCCACCTTCTGATCCTAGGCTGGAGACCCTCACCCACACAGTTCTGCAGCCGTGACAGCAAACCCCCCCCCCCCCGTACGACCCATCCAGTTGCAAGCAAATCTGCTGGCTAACCCAGATATTTGTCTCTGTCCTTTCCCTCCCCAGGACAACCTGACCCTCTTCCTGAGGGGATGCGAGGAGCTCGGGCTGAAGGGGTCACAACTGTTTGACCCCGGGGATCTGCAGGATACCTCCATACGTGCCAACCCCAAGTAAGAGAGCCCCCTACTGGCTGTGCTGAATCCATGTGACACGCCATGGATCAAGTTACAGGCTCACAGAGTGTTTAGAAGAACACATGACGTATTCAGTTGCAGAATGTTCTAGAGACAGTGCGAAGAAAAATGTGTTCTGGTCGAAGGGTTCAAGGACACCGCTATATATTGCAGTACACATCTGAGCTTGCAGTAAATTACATTAACCCCTGCCACTGGGCAATAGCCCATATATTTAGTTCTTGTTTATTTTCGCAGGCATATTTTGTTTGTTTTTTATGATTTGTGGTGAGTGCTGAGTTTCAGATTTTTGCCGCGTCGCGGATTTTTAGACATTTCACCAGATTTACGGCCTTAGCGAACTAAAACATGACTTACGCACTTGCTGCCGATGGGAGTCCCCAGAACCGTAAATAATACGAGTGGCTGGCGGATGGAAGCTCCACAGAGACAGGAAGGTTGCGTGAATTAGCTACGAGCCCGAACATCGTCTGCAGTGAGAATATGAAGGCACACTGGGTGGTCCTGCAGTTTGAATCGCACACCTGGTTCACTGTCTGTGGCATCTCCACATTTTCGCTGTGTTTGGGTTTGTTCTCTCTTGGTTTCCTTCCACAGTCCCAAAACATGCTCTTAGATTAATTGTGCCGGTTTTGTGGTCTTTGTTTCCAGAGAAACATGTTAGACTGACTGTGACTGACAGGCTCATTGCACTGCAGGTGGGAGTTTTTGCAGCTGTTTTTTGGAAAGCTGGTTGGATCTTCCAGCGATGGGGGTGGAATAGGTCACCGTATAGAGCCCTATTATTCAAATCACGGTCCTCGAGGTCCGAGCCCTGCTGGTTTTCCAGCCTTCCTTTACCTGTGAGCCAGGCGTGAAGCCTCTGACCAATCAGAATCAGTAATTATTAAACTAACTACCTGGGTGAACTGAAAACAAGGCCTGGATTTGGAATCGCGGTCCAGATTTGAAGAACCCTGGTATAGAGGGTGATGTCATGAGTCGCCATCCAGCAGGGACCAAACATAGCGCCTCTATGCTGAACCACAACGTTTTGCCCCAGAGTTTGTGGGGAGCTGCATGTGACCATGTGACATGCTTCTGGGGATGGCAGAGCGACTGCCCCCCCCCCCTCCCAGAGCAAATGCTCAGGTGTCGTCAGGAGGTGATGAGAAGGTGAGCACGTCCCTGTTGTGGTTCCTGATCCTCGGGCTAAGAAGCATTCGGTTTAGCTTCCGCTGCACGTTACCTTTGCCCTGAGATGTGTGGGTATGAGGTCTGGTGTCTCTGCCCAGCAAAGCCAGAGCAGAAGATGGCAAAGGCTTCTGGGCCCTGGCATGCTCACTGACCCCCCCCCCCCGCTTTGGTACTGGCGTGCACGCTCACTGTGTCCTTGGGTCAACAAGGAAGGGGCTTGTGTTTCACTTTTTTTAACCAATCACAGTCTTCGTCGTATGTCAGTTCCACATTAAAACCAGTGTTCTCTGTTAAGCGGCAAGGTGCACAGATTTCTAAATGACCAGTTTTATTGTGTCTGCCTTTTGTTAAGGGACACATCATAGATAAACATAGAAAAAACATAAGAACACGCTTACCTGCAAAGGCTGTTTGGAGCAATGTAAGAGTGAGTCTTTATTTCATTTAAGGGTCAAATTAAAACCATTTAATCTAAAAATATGTTGATTAGTCTTTTGTAATATGAGAGCCTTAGATAATATTTATTTTATTATTAGTGAGCATTAGTGACTTGTATTTATCTTTGCCTGAAGCTGAGTACAATAAAATACTGAAATGATTCAATAAAGCAGTGCTGATCGCTGTTTTTTCATCTTCCCTGCATTTACAGCTTGGATTTTTCTGGAAACTTCTAAGATAGAGCTGTCAGCTGGATATAGCATTTATCATCACAGTGCTGTTTTGTTTTAATATTTAACTTATTTGTTATAATTATCAGGTTATAACTATGGATCTGTCATATGAGTAACCAGTGTCGTATCTCTCACTCTCTCTTAGGGGTTCAGACTGCAATCGAAAGCTGAAGAATGTAAGTTTTTCTCTCTCTGTCTCTCTCTCTCGCTCTCTCTCTGTCGCTCCCTCCGTCTATTTTGCTGCATCCGCCTCCAAAGTCCGCAGAGCAGAAACTCATCCCCCTCTCATGCCGTGCTCCATGCAGTGCCCGACTCCATCGACTGATGCGACTCTTCGTCGCATTTTAATAACCTGGAGAAACACAGGCACGTCTGTACAGAAACTCCTGGAAAAATCACCGCACCCACATCACCACTATTTTCAATAGATATATATATTTTCAAATAAATCCTGCATCCTCTGGCCTGTTTATAAATTCCCTCCGTTGGAATGTTGGATCGCATATGATGTTGAGTCAGAGATGAGGAAGAATCGACCCAGTGAGCAGAATCGCAATCTGAGCTTGTTTTTAAAGCCTTCGCTCGTTTTTTTTCTTCAACATCCATCATTCCATAGCTACGCCTATCATTGTTGCGTAATTTCGCTTATCCCTCTTAATTTGACAGCTCGGATTAGGGTTAATATGACAGTTAATCGGTTTGCAGCTCTTTACTATTCTTGCAGCTTCTGGTGGATCCTGTCAGATTCCACGTTGTTGCTGCACTAATTTAAAGTGGCAGCAACAGTGTTTATATAACATATACATTTAAAAAAAAAAAAAAAAAAATCGGCATTTATAAATCCTGGTTTAATCCTGGTTCTGCTGGCAGAGGCTACACTGTGAGGCAGGCTGCTTCCAGGCTCAAAGTTTCTAAGACAGCAGTACACAAGAACGAGATGAAGCAGGAGACACTGGGAACGACCAGGCAGGTAGAGGGCAGAGCCGATTTTGTAATGCCGGAGACGACCGTCCGTGAATAGGTGGATGACATCAAGTGACCTTCAAAAAGAATGGGAAACATTAAGTGCAGGTGTGAAGTGCACTGCTAGGAGAGTTCATATCAGACTCCTAGAAGCTGGACTGAAGTCCCATAAAGCGAGGAAGAAGCACTTCAGGCTGGAGTTTGCAAAAAAATTTATATTTTACCTAGGCGTACACCTAGAAATTGAGAAATTAGTGAAACTGTTAGTGAAATTTTTTGTGAAAATTGAATTAGTGAAAATGTTATTGTGGTCTCTTAATTTTTTTCCCAGAGCTGTGTGTGGTCTGGTGGGTGATCTTTTGTTCTCTGGCCGATGTAAGATTTTGACCGTGAAGACACTGGGGTCTGTGACCTCTTGGTCCAGGAGAAATACTGTAGAAAATTGAGCATCTGTGTCCCTACATCCGAGCGGCACCTGTGTCAAGTCTGGTACAGTTCTTATTTATGGCAGGTCGTGCCCTGGTGTCGTTCTTAAGATAGCTCAGCGAACTGTGACGTTCCCGCAGGGAGTCCAGAGAGCTCACTGAGTTTCTCTCTTGGGTCAGTGTGACCTCCCGACCTCGCTCCCTCCCTATCTTAAATTCTTAGTGACATACAGAAGCACTCTATATTTTATCCCTAAATGATGTACCAAGTCTACAGTTAACGGAATGAACTAAATTGACGTCAGACAGGTCACAGAGCTAACTCTGCCGTCTCTTTGTGTAAAGGGAAACTCCATCTGTTGATTGTAGTTAATATTATAGCTTAGTTGACATCACAAGCTACTTGTGCACGTTTTGTGAAGGTCCTACCCCATTTGTGGTTCCCCCTCAGGTCTTGATCACCATATATTGGCTGGGGAAAGCCGCCAACAGCTGTACGACTTACAACGGGCCAACTCTGGACCTGAAGGAGTTTGAGGGGCTGTTGTCACAAATGAGGAAGGTAGGTCTGGGCCATCATGGGTTTCTGCTGATCTTAAGCAGAACTGCCCGGGCAGGAGGACGCGTGCTGTTCAGTGTTTGGTTCTGCTTTAGAGAAGAACATTGCGCTGCAGTTTATAAGCTGAAGGACAGCCATGATGTGAGAGAAAGCATAGTTAATCTCTATATTTTCACTCTGTTTTTAAACTGAGCGGCTGATCGATGAAGGATGTGTGGGTCAAATGTAGAGATGCAGTGTGTTATCTTAAGATTATTTCAAGCAGCAGAGCAAGAGCTATATAAACTGGGGAGACGGGCATCTTGATGCTGTGTGGCAGCTGTCTGGCGACGTCAGACTGGTAGGCTGGTGGGGGTCTGAGCTGGCTGTCATTAACCAGGCCTGGTCGCTCCTGGCACGCCAGAGGAATGTGGTCTTCATCTTCTGTCCCTCAGCTGTGGAGCCCGGCCACCCGCAGGCCGTCCGCCTTTCTGGATTTATGAGGCGTCTTCCTGCCTCAGGTGTTGCCCTGGTAGGAGATCTGGCTGCATCTGCAACGATGATGTCAACCCGTTGGCTATAAAGCGCCTTGCAGTGATGCAGAGAGTGATGTCATTCTCTGCCACCAGACATTCTTTCCATAAACCGTTATAGGAATTTTGTCCTTTAAAGGAAATATATCAATGTATTTTTCACTATCAAAAAAACTATAAATATATCTGAACTCTAAGAACATAAGAAATTTACAAACGAGAGGAGGCCATTCGGCCCATCAAACTCATTTGGGGTGAACTTAACTAATAGCTCAGAGTTGTTAAAATCTTATCTAACTCTGATTTGATGGAACCCAGGGTTTTAGCTTGCGCTACACTAACAGGAAGACTATTCCATACTCTAACTACACGCTGTGCAAAGAAGTGCGTCCTCAAATTCATTTTTAAATGTTCTCCTGCTAATTTCCACTTATGGCCATGAGTATAAAAACATAAGAAATCTGCTCTTTTTTATTATAAATCTGCAGCGCAGACCCGATTTTTGTTATTTTGATTGGTTTGTTGTCATTGCAAGATTGTGGTATTAATCATCTAAGAAGGCAGATTGCAATGTTTTAAGTGTTTTCCTGGGTGCGTTTTTATATTTTTTTACTGAAATGTACAGCAGAAGCAGGATGTGATTAACTACAGCCAGTGTTGGGCATTTCAGGTCCACAAAGTACAAATCTAGACCAAGATTTTGTTTCTACCAACCAGTTGAGCATAAAGAGTCACAGTCACAGAGAACTCAGCTGGTAGGTAGAAACAAAATCTTGGTCTGGATTTGTAGTTTGTGGACCTGAACTTCACTGACTACAGCATGATGCTCTATCATTTTGAATTCTGAAAGCTTGATTTGGGTCCCAGTTGAAAAAATTCTTTGGGGCCAAAGACAAGAGGCTTCAAGCTAAGCTATCGAACGGAATCCTCCGTTGATCTCAGAGTACCTGTGATCGGATGGGTGCTGATGCTTGACCCTGTTTTGCCCGTTCATTGGTCCGTATTTCATTGCTGCGTATCTCCAAAAATGCAGTATTTCAGGAGCGTGAAAAAATGCATTTCTCAGACCTTTATAAAATATACTTAAAACAACATAAGAAGACACCCCAGGCACTAAAAATAGAAACCTATCTTTACTCAGCTCTCAGCGAACGGCTTAATGTTTTAAATGGATTTATGTGGATTGTTGTCAACGAGACAAATATGTCAATGTTAAGATACAAACTAATCTTGTTTTATATTCACAATTGACACCGATGTTTGTTCTGTAGTTATCAACGTTAAATAGTTCAAATAAGCAATATAAAATAATGCAAACTACATGAATCATGAAACATCATGAATACAAATGTTAACTAGCGCGAACAGAAATCCTAGTTAAGCAGATGACTTCATAAAACATCTTTATTGGTCAGTTAGTTGTCAAACACTATCAGTAGACAGAGGAGAATGGGTGTATTTGAGCTATAGAAAATGTCACAATTGTTAAAAAGTGAACATACTCGGTTATCATCGGACAGCGACGGCATGAGTGACGTTCATGGAAAAGCCGTGTTGTAATCCTGGCGAATGCCTGGCGTTCTCGACCTCCTGGGAATTCCCGAGCTTCGGAAGCTGTAAGGCTACTGCTGCGTGTTTCGAATGGGAGTTCCTCTTCAGTCCTACTTCAGCGGAACGCGTTCTGGTACAGAAACGTGTGAAAACAGTAGAAAACATCTCCAGCACGCACTCTGTGCCATGTGGCGTCCGTCAGGCTGTCAGGCCGCTGGCCTCTGACTGGTGCCGTGTGTCTAGCCTGGGCGGTCCAGGGGGAAGGGGGGGGGGCAGTTGATGGTGACCTTTGAGTGAAGGTAGGCTTTCAGTGGGGGGTTTGTGGAGAGCTGGTTTGAGCCCTGGAGGAATTTGCCTGATGATCGAGCCCTGTCAAAGACCGCCTTTGTTCCTGAAGCTCAGAGCTGTGGGCTGGCCGCAAATACTTCCATGTCCCCCCTCGTCCAAGACTTGGCACAAAATCATGACGGGGGGGGTGGTGGGTGCACTTGGGCCAGGAACTTCCTCTTAGTGACAGGAAAGGCTCTCATGGGGGGGGGGGGGTAGCAGCACCTCCACCCTATACAAGCTTCATAACAAGACAAAAGAAAACAGAGGCCGTTTCTAGGAGAAGTGGAGGAGAGAGAATCTAAGGGGAAGGGAGAAAGGTTGTCGGGGGTGGGGGGCAAGCTGCCAAGACTGAGAGAGTTTTATTACCGGGGCTGAGTCCGCTGCTTAAGATGATCTTAAATTAAAGTGTGCCACCAGCCTGGGGGGGGGGGGGCGGTCTGTTTGGCGCTCTGCTGTCTCCTTTGAGAGGAGCACCGTTAGCACGCGACAGGTACTGCTGTCTTTGCCCGCCTTTCCGCGAGAGTGCGGATGTTTCCGGAAGGCTCCCGTGTTGCGGATGGGTAAACACGGGGAACTCCTCTTTTCTTTGTGTGTTGTGGTGTGTCTAGGAGGCCGAGGACATGGAGAGCCCCAAGAGGAACGTCCGGGACAGCGGCTACATCGACTGCTGGGACTCGGAGCGCAGTGACTCCTTGTCGCCCCCGCGGCACGGCCGCGATGACTCCTTCGACAGCCTGGACTCCTTCGGCTCGCGCTCGCAGCAGACGCCGTCCCCTGACGTGGTGATCCGTGGGAGCAGCGATGGTGAGCGACGCCCCTTCTCCACACGCTCCTGTTGCCTGATGGGACAAGCGGTAGTTTTAACCTGGGCCAAAGATGGGGGGGATGCAGCTGTAAAGAGTCGGGCTGCTGGGGTGTACATTTGGTGAGGAGTGGAGTGAGGAAGGATGTCCGACTAACCCCTGCAAGCTGTGAAGGGGACAGATTTAGGTGAGGGGAGGGGGTTTGTGGCTCAGCTGTGAGAGAGATCAGAAGGTTGTTGGTTCAAATCCCAAGGTCAGCAGAGTGATTTCACATTTGGGCCCTTGAGCAAGACCCTAAACCCCCAGTTTCTCCAGGGACTGACTCTGCTTCTTTCTTTAAAAAAAATGTCTGTTACATGAATTAAACGTAAAATGTAAAATGTGGCATTGAATGACAGCTTCTGTGTTTGCTGTGGAAGCAGAGTCACGTTTGGTTCACTGCCCCACTGTTGGTCGCTGGAATCTGTCGCCGCCGCAGAACTGGGTGTCGGGGTGTTCACTGCGATTTCTGCATGTCCCTGGGAGGAGAATGCTCGGCTGCCCCCAGACGCCCCCAGTAACACTGCTCGCAAGACATTCTCTGTGATGCCGTTTTCAGAATGTGGATGTTTTAATCCCTTCTTGCCACACAACAGTGTTATTATTGTACTTAAAATATATCAGTGGGATCTTTTACATGCTAGACGCCCTGAAGTAAAAGCTCTGTCAAGGATCATCTCCAGCTTTACCAGAACCAAAACCTTCATCCTTGATGCCGTAGGAATGCGGCGGCTGCAGCCAGCTGGGCCTTTAGTCTAACGGGTGTCCGCGTCTCTGCCTGCGCAGAATTGGTTCTGTTCAGCAATAAAGGCTTGGCACGAGGCCGCATGCCATCAGGAAGGAGAAAGGCACTGAGGATCGACTGCTGTTATTACTCATAACTTACCTGCTTCAGATACCTAAAAGAAAATCCTTATATTTGACACCCAGCAACAGCCGTGAGAAAAATCCCACTTCCTGTCGATAAGGGGCAGCACTGAGCACGTTTCACGAAGGGCACGTCCCTGTGGTATGGGGGGCCGGCGGGGAATGGCCCGGCAAGGCCGACGTTGAGCGCTCACATCCTTCACTGCCGTGTGACTCACGGCAGCTGTTATCAGAGCAGGTCACAAGCATAGCAGGAGCAAAAGAAGCTGCGAATGGGAAAGGTGAGGACTGGGGGCCAGTGGGGGCAGGAGCGTCACACGGCTAATTTGGGGCAGGCCGACAAAAAAATACAGGGAGAAATATTTACTCAGAGCACCAGGATCGCTTGGCAGGACTTGAAAGCATTCCGCGTCTGTAACTCTGTCCCATCCCAGATTCCGATGCCGTCGCTGTCCAGCTAAATATTTATTTACTTGTGGCAAAAAAGCACACCCCTCACGGATCTGTGAGGAATTCCCCCCGGGTTCGGCCGAGGTCGGCATCCTGTTTGCTCCTTATCAGAGCCTCGGAGGAAGCAGCCGACCTCGAGAGGGAAACGGGACGATTGTTCTGCGGCAGCAGAAATGCCTGTGACCGCATCCACCTGGAGCACAGGCGCGATCCGAGAGACCCGGTAAAATCCCGGGATGCTTTTCTGCAGAATCCGCAGAATTCATCTGAACAGGGTAAAGGCATGAAGTCATGTCTACTTGTCGCATTGCTTTTTGAAAAAGATTTTTTTTTTTTAATTCTGTTTTTTTTTTTTTTAGAAGTGGTTGTAATTCAGCCATTTTTTGTTAAAGTTTTATTGGTTTGCATTGAATTATTTGTTTTTTTTGTTTTTTTTCTTCCTTGTGATCATTCATCACTGCCTTCTTAACGACGGTCCGAAAGCTAGTGGGTCCGTGATCTTCAGTCTCCCTCCATGCCGGCTTTCCTTTTGGCCTGATGCCACCGCAGGTCGGTAGACGGTCAGGCGCTCCCGCGCACTGCGGCCCGATGCCAACTTAACGCCTGAGTCAGAAATGCTGCACCAGAAGCAGGGTCATCTTGCTGTCAGTGTTCAGTGACTCAACGCGGGCTGTTACTCAACGCTTCACGGTCCATCCGAAATAGGACCGTCAGGATAGGGGTCCAGTCAGTCAGCTGTGATAGGGGCCATAACAGGAGGACAGGAGGAAGGAGGAAGTTTCTGCATTACTTTCACATCTGATGCTTTTATCTGAACCAACTTTCAGTAGAGGGTAGGTTGTAGTTTGTGTCTCAGGGCCGTAGCCAGGACTTTTACATTACCGAGGTGTTAGTCTGTCATAGGTGTGGCCTGTAATGGATCATGGTTATTGGAGTTGCAGGATAAATACTTAGGACTTGACCTTGGTGTCCTCAGTGGTAGGTACAGGAACGTGTGTGTGCTCCCCGGGATTCAAACCCACATCCTTTGCATTGTTAGCCCATTGGACAGGAGTACGCTGCTGGATGGCTGTGAGAGTGTGCTCGTGTGTGTTATTGACCTTTGACCCCGCTTAGCTAACGGTGACAACTCAAAGTCCTTCTGTTAGCCAAAGGCTAATCTCTGAAGCGTAGCCCATTTCTTTTCCTTCGGACATAAGGCCGCAAATGAAACCCAGATTACATGTGCGCTCTCGTATACGGTCACCTACATGTGCCAGAAGCGGGAGCCGTGCTGAGCTGTGAAACACAGCTTTACTCCCTCTTGTGGCCAAGTCAAGTGCTGCAGCTTGTGGCCGGTCGGGCGCGGCGCACCGCTTTCAGCCGAAACGGATCAGTCGGTCTCCTCGCTGTTTCCCGGGGGCGGTGCGGATGCCGCCGATGACTGGTAAGCGAATGTCGTGCCAAGTCTGGGACAAAACAATACAGCAACGGCAGCCAGTGTCAGGGGTGACTGCTGAGTTATGTACGTCTGACCTTATGTTCTCCGTGACATGGGCGCAAGCACTGAAGCACGCGTCTGTTGGTCCTGGAGACGATCCCACACATCTGGGGAACATGTTAGGGAGGAATTCACGCCGTGGGGGCAGAGACTGTAAGCCAGGTGACTCTAAATCGCCGTGTAATTGAATACGAACAGTTTCTGGGCTCGTTCTATTGAGCGGACCCCTTGGAAAACTGGAAATTAGAACCATTTGGATTCTGAGCATGCTGGCACTTTCGGGTGATTGGGGGGGCTGGTTAAATTGCAGGGTCCCGGCATTCAGTCTAAACTGACACACAGCTCTGAGGCTACTGGCTCTCCCCCAGGTAAAACGCTTAGCATTTAGCCAAGGATAAACACTTCCTACTTGCAGACGTTATCCAGCCTCTGAATACTGTCAGTGTTTATAAATGTTTTGACTTTTCACCTCCTTTGGCCCATTAAGATATTTTTAAGCTGAACCCAATTGAGCGCATGTGGAAGAACATTGAAAGTGTTTGGTTTAAAAATACAAGCAGACAGGATAAACCACTCAGGAAGTGTTCTATCTTTGCAGGCTCTCAGTCACTCGCTTTCCCCCTCCCCCCGTCTCACAGGCCGCGGCAGCGACTCGGAGACCGACGCCCCCCATAGGAAGCTGCCGGACATGCGCAAGGACGACATGCTGGCGCGGCGTACGTCCTACAACGAGCCCCGCACCATGGTGCCCTTCAACCAGTACCTGCCCAACAAGAGCAACCAGAGTGCCTACGTTCCCGCCTCCCTGCGCAAGAAAAGGCCGGAGCGCGAGGATAGCCGCAAGAGCTGGAGCACGGCTACCTCTCCCATTGGAGGAGAGAGGCCTTTCAGGTAGGGAGCGCCACCCCCATAGCCTCTGCTGTCATTGGTCTGTACTCTGCTGCCATTTGTCAGATTGGTTGCCATAGGTCCCGCCCTTATATGATCTGTTCCTGATAGGCTGCATCATTGGCTCCGCCTCTTAGAAATCTACCCCTGATAGGTTATGTCCTAAGCAGTGCAGGCCCAGTTTTGCTTAGGGCTAGCCACCAGATGGATTCTGCCCTTAAAAATGGACTTCATGCTGGGCAGACCCTGAGCTTCACAGGCCCAGGACGATAACAAGCTCTGATTGTGTCGTTCCGTGGGACTCCTTGTTCTCCTGTAATGGCTTCATTAATCCAGAACGATGAACACAGCAATTAAACAATATTATGGCTCAGTGGTTTCATGCGTCCAAAATGGGTCAAGCTGCTTTTGGTTCCACTACGTTTTGACACCAGAGGCAAGGACCCAGTGAAACGTAGCGCGATTACTGGTGAAAGCCGAGGTCTTCCTCTGCTATACCACGTCCACATGCAGCATGTTGACAAGGCGTCTGGACTCTTTAATAAGGACCTTTCTACCCCACCTTCTCATTTACATATGTAGTATAGCAGATGCTTTGGTCCAATGACATATAAGTGAGGCAAATAGCACATTGTAAACATACGTGCTGTCAAAGTGTCAACTGGGCATAAGTGCAGCCAGACTGCACTGCACTTCCAGTGAATTCCCAGGTACAGGTGTAAGTAGTACGGCAAAAGGAGCTGCACAACAATTTCTAATAAAGCTAGAACTAGTCTTGGCCAAACGATGCATAATGAACCATTTGCTGTATTTTTGGACCCCACTAGATGGCGCTCTCTCTTCAAAAAAATGGGCTCAATACATGCCCCAATGCAAACCAAGAGCACCATCTAGTGGGGTGAAAACAATACAGCAAATGGTACATGAAGATTCATCACTAGCTAGAACCTATGAAACTTAATTGTGGTGACCATCTGTTTCCTGGGGAATTGAGAGCAAAGAAAACCAGTATATGAAAATAAACATACACTGTATTTTCAGCAATAATATATTAGGTATTGTCAGGTTGACGTTATCACCTGGCCACCATATGAGCAGCTGTCCTCTGGAGTCTCTTCTGTCTGGGTCTCATTGCCTGGCTGTGATGAAACATAAATATAGTAACCTCAAAAGAACCCAAAAAGCTATTCAGATCTTCCCAAATTTGGAGCCTTTGTATGTTGAATGCCGTTGTTCGCAAAGCCCTCCAAGCTTCCCTGTTTTCCACGGCTCTGTGCTCGTCATGTATGCATGTGAAATTGCAGGTCGATTCTGCAGTGTTTCATCACCGTTCCCCTTATGGTTGACATGCAGGTTTTTCCCTCCGATTTCTGAAAAGCTGTAAGAATTGGAGTAAGAGACCGATTTTGCTTTTCACTAAGCAAAGAGTCTGATTCATTGGTTGGCTGTGATCATTAAGTAGTCCGTTTTAATTCTTGGCCAGACTGAGGTTGATGTGTCCCAAAAAGGGCATCTGTTCTCCCCCTCCCCCGCTAATGCCCTCGACTCCTACAAACCTGTTGTGGGGGGGGGGGTTGGGTCAGTGTGTGACTCAGTATGTGACACGGTGTGTGTGTCCTGCTGTGTAAAAGCCACCCAGAGACTATACAGGAAGAGGGGTTACAGCCAGAGGACGGAGAGGATCGTACTAGGGCTCCTCTGAAGACCGTCATGGGGGGCGGGGTGACCTGCTTGGCCCCGCCTCTGTGGGATGGCAAGGACGAGCAGGAGATCAAGAAGCTGGAGCGGCTGGAGAAGGCTGGCATCCGGGTGCTGCCCGCCGCCGTTCGTTACAGCAGGTCAGCCCAAGGGATGTCACTGTCACCATCACGGGGTCTGGAGTGCTGTGGAGTAGGCTGGCACCCACTAACGCGGAAGTGCTTGAGATCCGCCGGGCGTGACCGCCATGCAAGCGTAACCCTGGCATGCTTTGCAGTGCGGTGCATGCCCGCCAATGCCCAGACGAGGAGACGGACTATAATCAGGCCGATCCACTATTGCTGGAAAACAGAAATCTGAAATAACGATAATAATCAGAATCAACCGAAAGCGCTTCGATGCCTGAAATCGTCGATTCGGTGCAATAACACGGAATAAAGAATTAAAAACTGGCTTGCGGATACCATATGTCAGCAAACGTGATCTGCTGTGATGAAAGAGCTCGCAGGAATTTCTGCATTGCCGTCGAGGTGGCGCTTTGGTGACTGTCCCAAATCTTTGTGGACACGCGAGTGCACGAGGAGGCGTGTCCCAGAGTGTTGTGTGGTGTGGCCGTGCCGCCGATCGTGGCCTGGGTGTGCAGAGACTAACCGCATGGGGCCTGAAGGGCCACCCCTCCAGCTTAAATGGATCATTCCTCCAATGCTCCAGCTCCAAGCTCACTGGCAAAGAGGCTCCCAGGGGCCCCACCCCTGACATTATCCTGCGGAAGGACAACGACTTCTCGAGGATGCAACAGGAGCACGAGTCGGACTCGGGCGAGGAAGAGGAGGCGGAGCGGCGGCTGCCCGATCTGGAGAAGGATGACCTGGCCTCCAGGAGGGCGCGGATGAGCCGCGGTACCCCCCGCGTGCGGCACCAATTCCTCCCGTCCACCTGCAGCAGCCAGGACCGTGAGAGGTGGGAGCGCATCCGGCGCAGCTCCCAGCAGGCGGCGCTAGAGAGGGAGCAGCAGCAGGTGCTCAGGTGCGCTAACGGCAGGTGGGCGGAGCCCCAGGAGTGTTCCTAGGATGTCGCCAGGGTGCGTTTGTTAATAGCACCAGGGGCGGAGCTGCCTGTAATGATGACAGCAAGGCGGTGGAGGTGGCACGTTGGGTTGTCGCGCGACGGTTGGATGAAAAATGCTGAGAAAATAGTGAGAATAATTACATACATGAACAGACTTGGAGATGTTTAAAGTATAAAACATCACCTTTTACACGTTTGTTTTGTGAATATTGTGACACACAATCAGTTGAATGCACGTCTGGATCTCTTGTTGCTTGTCCTGGCCTAACTTGAACGCAAGAACGTAGGATAGAGTTTGAAACTGGGGGGGGGGCGCAACTTATTAATGTGAAGGCAACTGTCTGTTTAGTGGGGGGCGCAAATGAAGCCAGATTAAATACTGGGGCGTATCTGCCCCCCCTTTCCTACACTCCTACCTGGCCCATCTCCTTTCATCATTCCCATGTACGTGCTTTTACCGTTGACTTTCCTGCTTTTTATATCTTTTCATTCATTCTGCTTCTTCTTTCTCCTTTTCCATTTCCAACCACTGTCGTCTTGTTTTTTTTTTTGTTGTGCATGGTACTTGTCGCGTGTGTGCGCATGGTGGGCGGTGTTGATGTTACGGACGACGCGTATGCCTGTCCGTGCCACAGTGAGACTGAGGTCTCCTCCGGACTCGAGCCCAGCGCCATCGCCCCTAAAGAAATACCCCCAGTGCAGCCCCAGCAGCAGGAGGGCCAAGGAGTCAGCCCCCAGGCCCTACCTAATGCACTGAAGGACGATCTGGCCCGCAGGAGAGCGCACAGCGGGCCTCCACCCCAAAGGGAGAACCTGTCGGCCTTCATGCAGGCCTCCATCACCCAATCCGACCTGGAGAAGTGGGAGCGCCTTAAGATGACAGTAGAGACCAGGTGCCTACATGTCTCTTTGTGTTTGCGCTGAGAATCTTCTGCTGTAGGTGGTGTAGCGGCTGTGCTACTGTAGGTGGCGTAGTTGCCCCACTGCTGTAGGTAGCCTAGCGGCCCCCGCTGCTGTACGCCTGTATCCTTGTGATACCCACACAGATGCATTAGTTGTATGATAGACTACTGCAATCAAGGTTAAACAGCTCTGCAGTGTGTCCTTCCATATACCACCCAGCAGGGCTGAAATTCCAGCCGCGCGAGGGGGCAGATTTGGGCCTGAATGCATCACGGCTGTCAGCCCAAGCATGTGTGACTCAGGAGTCCCCAAAAGCTGACGCCAACTCTGAGGGCTGTTTTGTTCTTTCTCACTGCACGCTTTTCATAAAACGGTAACAGAAATTTGGATTTTTGCGTGGAGAATTAATATTAGTGTTGTGGTTATCTCAGCTACTAAGTACCAAGCAATGGGCCTGTAGGGTATCTCTTCATGTCGTGGTTACTCGCCGACTCGGTCGCTGTGCCGCGGTTTGCCGCCTCTCGGTAACGGGTCGTCTCCTGGCCCCTGCTGCAGCGAGACTGAGGCCCCCCCCCGGGATTCGTCATTTGGCATGATCGCCCGTAAGGAGAGCTCCTTGGTGCCGGAGGAGTGGGAGGAGCAGAGGAAGGAAGCGGAGCATGGAGGCAGTCCTCATGCGGTACCAAGTGTGCAGAAGGATGATCTGGCCCGTAGGAGAGCCCAGAGCAGCCTCCTCTCCCAAAGGGACACCCCGCAGAGCTGTTTCCAGGCCTCAATCACGCCGTCTGACCTGGAGAAGTGGGATCGCCTTAAGATGACAGTTGAGACCAGGTGCTGCACCACTTGCCCGCTTCTGCCGCATTTAACCCCTAAACCCCCACGATGTTGATTTGTGCTCATATGAGATTCTCATGTTCCTCAATGTCCTGATATGAGGCGTGGTCTACAAAAGAAGCAGTCAATTATTTTCAAAAGCCCTTCATTCATTCAAGAGCCCCACTAATCATTATGATATTTGCTCAGGGTCATCAGTGTACAAGTCAGTAGTGTTATACAGACTAACGGTGCTTGGAGACGCTACTCGAGGAAAGACGTTTCATGGTAGATAGCTTGGATCACCTGATAGTAAGGAGGGAGATGTTTCCAAGAAGTGGTGTTGACTCGTGGTCATTGACGTTGGTCAGTGGTGCCAATTGCGTCATTCATTCTTAGCTAGTGTGGCAACAAGGCATGGATGGATGGGGGACAAAGGCAAGGGCTTTCGGCCATCACTGCACATTTTAATTAAAGCAACTGTTTGCATTGGCTCATTCTCCGCATCTCCTCCGCGGCCTCCTTTCAGATTCCCTGTGAAAGGTCTCAGTTGATGTAAACCAGGAGGAGCTCACTTGGCAGGCACTGTTGGGTGCCAGCGTAGCCTAGTGCCAAGGCCTGTTGCCCGGCAGCAAGATGTGCAACTTAGCCTTTGGCGGTCAACTTGTCAATCCAGGGTGCGACCCTAACGCCAGAGGCTTGGGCTACAGGGGTAGTCTGGCCCAGGGAATGGCCAACTTCTCTACCAAGATATGGTTCTCCGGTGTTTTTTCCTTGTCAGTCATGCCAGGGCATACTTCATGTTTCTTGCAACGATTGTAACGTTATTGAACATGGGGCTGTTTCCATTGGCTTCCCACCCCATCCATACTGACACTCATCTTCTCCGTCTTTAAAAATGTCCGCATTCAGATGGCTCCCATTTCTTTTCCCTTTTCTCCTCTATCACTCTGTCCCCCTTTTCCTGCGTTAACACTCTCTGTCCTGCTTTCTGTTCTTCACCCTCCCAATCTGGTTATTCGGGGGGGGGCGGTCATGCAGCGAAGCCCCCTCGGCACCTGTCTGCCAGGCCTGCCTAGAAAAGAGCTGGCAGCCCCCTGCCATCCAGGCCGAAACGGCCGCGCGGGACGACCTGGCCAGCCGGCGCTCCCGCGCCCACCAGCGGCCGGCCGCCAGCCGGCAGCGCTTCGTGCACTTCGGCCCCGTCACCGAGATCGACCAGAAGTGCTGGGAGAAGCTGAGCATAGCACGGCCGGGGGAGGAGGAACAGGAGGCAGAGGCAGGGGCGGGGCCGGGGAACGAGAGCCTGACACTGCGGCGCCTCCTGTCGGCCGCCGCTGTGGCCACACCCACCATCGGCCTGGGCTCCCAGCTCACTGAGCGGGCTGCCAGGTATGCTGGGCCTGTGCGTGCAGTGCAGTGCAGTGCAGTGCAGTGCTGTGGTCCATGCCGAAGCTCATGCCCTGCATCAGCTGGAGTGCTCTCCGTTTCCTCGCTGCCTCTCTGTACGACATCATCACCAGGGCCGTTGCCAGGGGGGGAGGGGCGGGAAACAGGCATGTTTTCCTGGACTTTGGGCTGGAGGGAGTCCAGAATTAAAGTTATGTTTACTGAGGCACAGGTTTACCGGGTTAAAAAAATCTACTGAGGACCCCCCCCTGGTTGACATACTGTTCCAAGGGGGTCTGGGGTGAATTGCTACACCCCTGACCGGAACTGCACGCCCCGCTGGGTTGTTGCACTGTAGGACATTCAGCCTAAGCATGACCAAATTGACATGCGCTACGCTGTGTTTCCTTGCTCTGCAGAGATCTGTCAGTGTCAATGCAGCATATTCCGTGGATCTCAGTGTACAGATGTGGATCACGGTCATGGATTGAAGTTTTTTTCCATTCTGTGCTTTGGAATTACTGTTTAAGAGCAGTGACAGTAATTCAACGTTGGTGTATTTTGGTTTAAGCTGTAATGGTTGGGCAGCATGCATTTGGTCGGAAGTGTGACCCTTTCTCCGTGTCACTGTTCATTGTGTGGTCATCCGCCCCAGTGGCCTGAGCGGTGGCGGAGCCGCACACTTGCCGATGCTGCCCGAGCTGGTGCAGAGAGAGAACGATGCTCTGGACCAAAGGCTGGCTCAGTACAAAAGGCAGGAGGAAGAAGAGGAGGAAGAGGAGATGGGGGAGAGGTTGCCTGACCTGGAGAAAGATGACATGCTGGCTCGCAGGACCAAGGTCTTCCACAAGTCCACCAGCAGTCCTGCCTACAACAGGTTCCTCCCTTTGCCGCGGTCCAAGGTGCAAGCCCCGAGGGAGGGAGCCCTTAGTAGCCCCAAAGCTTTGGGAAAAACCATCGATGATCCCGCTGGTAGGGGGGAGTCCCCAAAAGAGGAGGTGATCCCCGACAGGCCGAAAGATGGGAAGGAGCTCAGGTGGGAAGATCTGCACCAGAATGAGTGTGCTGCAGAAATGATGTGTGGTGTGGTTGTGTTGCTGTGGCTAAGTTTAGCAAGTGCTTCAGGGTACTGTGTGAAGGTGGCGCTGAAGGAGACAATCTGCCAAGGTATGACTGTATAAATGACCACGCAAACTGAGCTAAAGGCTAAAGGCTCCAACAGGACAAATGCTGAATGTGGCTTGAGGCCTGCTGAATATGTTATGCATGTGGAACTAAAAACCGGCTAAAATTTGCACAACTTACCTGATGCCAGCAGTTGACTTATCCAGCCTGTGGTTTTGGCTTTGGCTTGTTGGATGGGTGTGCCTCAGGTGACCATGCTCGGACCTACCAATAAGAGTAAAAAGCCTTCCCACCATGGTAATTCCAGACCAGTGCTCCGTCACCAGGAACCCCAGGGATTGGTGGACGCCGTGTCTCACTCTGACCAAGATATAGCAGTGCCTGTGTCTGCTACCGTAAAGTCCAGCGATGAGGAGGAGTGTGAAGAAGAGAGGCCGCTGCCCGATTTGGAGAAAGATGACATGCATGCACGCCGGACTGGAACGTTTCAGAAAGCAGCTGGACCAGCCTTTAACAGCTTCCTCCCGGTCCCCGGGTCCGTCAGACACAAATCCGCACCTGTCTCTGCGGCTGTTGGCTCCACTTACAGCAAGCCAGTGGAACAAGGAAACATACCTCCTAGTGAAAGGTCAGGAAAAGTGTTTCTCTTGCCTTGTTGTAAATTTTTTTGCAGCTGATATTTTAAATGTGCTTCAGCCACAATTTGACGATTTGGCTTTTATTTAAAGTATTATGCTAAATTGGTTAGGAGTGGAATCCAGCATGACCTCATACAAGAACGTCTCCTACTGATTTCTCCTTCAGTGGGGTTTTGGTAATGATGGCATATCAAGTTGTGCTATGGATGAGTAAATAGCCTTGTTTCTGTGGGAAAACTTTCATATCCTTTTTGACCTCTGCTTTTTTGCATACAGAAAATAATAGCCACATATTCGAATTTGAGGTTTCTAGTCACTGGGATTTATTTATTTTTTTTTGTGGAAAGCCTTTTGCTTGGTCTCTGGAAACCGCGACCCCAATGAATACGTTTTATGCACCACTTGATTTGAAGTTGTTTAAAATATTTTTTAATTCTTGTTCTCTTTCGCGTTCCTGTATATTTATTTCTGTTCTGGTTTGCCGTAAATTGCTCTGTAGCATGCTGCCCTCTCTCAGCTCCCCTCTGCGTCCTGTAACCGGCTGATTCTTTCATTGGTAGCCTGAGTATCACATACTCGGCGGAAACGCAGCAAGCTCCTCCTGCCGCCATCACCGTGCCCCTTATCCTGGCCGGGAAACCCGGGGGTGGCCCCGAAAAGTCCCTGCAACCCCCTCGGGAGATAGAGGGAGAGGAGGCAGGAGAGGACAGGAAGTTGACATCCCTTCCAGTTAAAGCTGGGGTAGATGACATGTGGAGCCAGCAGAGCCATACCCCACCCAAACGCACTTCTCCCAGCCCCGCCTGCTACCTGCTCACACCAGAATCCCTGCAGGGGGCATCAGGGAGGGCCGAGGCAGAGGGGGAAGAACTGCCCTGGGGGCCTTCTGGGTTAGATGACGAAATGCCCCCAATGTGAGCATCCCCATTGTTTGTGATTGCAGATTCTACGATAATGAAAAGGCCCTTAGGTCTCCTGAAACCTCTTCATTATGGTCTCCACATCCCTATAGCCCTATATTAGGCCTTGATGGAATAACCCGTTTTCCTTGTTGAATGACTAAAAGATAAACAGTATAAATATAGTTGTTCAAAAGATCGAAATGAGTTTCCCATCCCTCCAGCGCCCCCTGTAGCTTGGAGGTCCATCTCTATCTCAGTTCGATAGTGACAGGACCCACGTGTCTCGGCTGGGAACCATAACAGACCTCTCCCTGAGCTCTATGGGAGGAGCAAACTTGATTTGATTCGCAGTTGCCTGCCGTTGTTATCAACGTCGCTTTCACTCATCGAGTTAGACACACCCCTTCCTCATTCTTCTCTGGTGTGTCCTGGTCTGGAAATGGGTTAGTTAACAGGAAGGAGGAGATGTGAGGACTGTGCATGCGGTGAAGAGGACAGGCAGCATGCAGAGCCCCCCCCCCAGAAGATCTCGATCCTGAACACATCATGAATAAAGTTTTTTTGTGGCCAAAAAAACTGCACCGTTCCACTGCAACCTACTACCCCTGCATGGGAACTAGCGGGAAATTTACACGGCAGACCTTCTGTTTAATAGTTTTTTTTTTCTTGTAGAATTTGAAGCATGTTATGGCTAACAAACTATTATTTGAAATCCCCGTGATTAAACCTTTGGCTTTGCTGGAACTGAGCCTTATTTTCAAAACCATGTCAGACAACAGCAATAAGCTACATTTTAAATGTTGTAACATTCTCATCACATCAAGTGAGCTGGCAGTCCCATAATGCATTGTGTCAGAGTACTACGGTTATTTTGCTCCCTGACCTATATAATTATTTAGAAGCATGATTTACAACATAATTTACAACATTCACTTCCAGCATATGTGGAAATACTCAAAAGCTGTAACCTGCTGGGATTGTGTCGTGGTTCCTTTCACTAAAACAAAAAAGAAAATAACATTCTTAAGTTTTCACGGCAAGATGGAGATTTTGTTTGTGGATAGACACTGCATGTAAGGAGATGTGCGTAATGGTGGGATGGGATAGATTAGTCTGTCATGCACTGGCTGAGAGCAACACCCGGTGGTCAGTACCAGGTATTGCAGCTTGTGTCTCTTCTGGGTGGAGCCCTGAAACACTGCATGCTGCTCCCTCTGAAAAATGCCTGTTCCATATTTGTAATGTGTTTCCGGAGGTAATCCTTAGTTTTTTTGTGGTGATCTTTTGGCTCCCAAGCAATGAGATCCTGCAGTGAATCGTGTTCATCCAGCCTTTGTTTGTATTCGTTCTACGATGCTCGCTGTAAACATCATTTGTCCTCTTTTTTTTTTTGTGCCTTTTATTTCTGCTTTTGTAGATTCAGCCACAGAGCTGCTAGTGTGTCAGATGACCCAGAGTAAGTCATCCCCCTCTCCCTAGCTGACGGACTAATCCGCATATGTGTGTGTGTCTGTGTGTGTGTGTGTGTGTGTGTGTGTGTGTGTGCGTGCATAGCTCGCGTCGTACTACAACCTTAACATCGCACTCCCGCACGTGTGTCGGCTTGCACGAGAGACATTTGTGCAGACATGCATGTGCACGGGCGCACGAGCATGCATAGAGTCATAACAGCATGCCATAGCATCAATCCCATCATGCCTTGCAGCAGAGGGCTTGCAATGCTCTGATATGATCTCGCATAAATTGACGCCCGTTGAATAATGTACCTTCCTCCTCCTCCAAGAGTCTCTTTCCTTTGGTATAATATTCTTGCTTTGTGGGTTGCATCTGTGCAACTATAAAAAGGAAGGAACGGGGTTACTGACACTCCGACATAAGATCATAGTAACTTTTAACAGCTTTGGCAAATGTTTGAGAATGTGATTTAGGAGCTTCCAGAATCAGGGCTTGGCCACTAAAAATGGTGACAATGGCCCATGTGTGTGAGAGGATGCTCGTGTCCACCCGCGGTCAGCTTGTCAGTGTGTAGATGTGAGCTACGGTTACATGATAGGTCACTTTGTTAGGGTATGAGGGCATCACACCTACAAGCTCTCCAGCCTTGCTGCTCTACATAGCCGCTTGGCAAATGGAGTCCGAGAGAATTACAGAATGACAGGATCATTAACTCGGGGCCTCCGTTCCATAGAATGCTTCCTCCTGTGATAGAACTGCAACAGGAAAACCTTCTGGTTTCTTAACGCAACAGTTTGGCCAAGTTTCTGCACATTCAGCCCAATTAGTAATTTAAGTAAGTCTTTCTTTAGACAGCTTCTGTTGACCGTTTCTTACATTCTTTGTCTTCAAACCTTTTAAGAACAGGGATCTGAACTTACATCTGTCAATTCTAAGATAATAATTGCTCGGTTGTCGCATTGAATATAAAATCGTCTTCAAATATAAAATCGAATCGAAGGGTTTCCTCACTTAAATCACATTCTCCTCTTGGAGCACCTTCCTTGTCTTGCAGAAAGTCTAATTTGTCCTAAAGAAACTAATTTTATTACTCCAACTGCTTCCTGCTGCTATGGCTTTTGTTGTTTTGTTTTTTTTTTTTGGTACAAACTAATTCATGCAGTATCTCCTCCACTTGAAGTCCATTATGCTCAGTTCCTCCATGCATTTGAAGGTGTGGGAGGTCCTACCGGCTTCACCTTGCTTCACGATGTGGGACGGTGGACCTAGATGGAGTTGGAAATAGATGGCCTTTATGTTTATTTAGGGCTGATAAATAGACTGACATCAAACGATTTCTGGCAAAGAGCTGGGCACTAATGTGTGCGGTAATGGCTGTGGCGTGTCACTGACAATCGAAGTGAAATCTTACATAATGTATAACTTAAATTACTGCTTTCCCATCAGGTACGTCTGTTTATTGCATGAATAAAACCCCTGTCAGATCCATCAACCATGCTCTTGCTAATGGGAATGGCCGAATTAACAAAAAAAAAGACACGATTTGCTTCGTACTGCTGTTCACAGAAGAGGAGCATGGCCTTAGAGTAGCCTCATGCTGGCACGTGACGGTGTGTTGCCTGTAGGCTGGCATGAGTGTCTGCCGCTGGAGTGCAGGTGCCCGAGTGCAGGTGCCCGAGTGCAGGTGCCCGAGTGCAGGTGCCCGAGTGCAGGTGCCCGAGTGCAGGTGCCGGTTTGATGGTCTCCCGCCTCCTCCCCCTTTTCCTGTGGCCGTGTCTCCCCATGCAGGAGCGTCAGCATGATTGACATGCGGTGTGAGGAAGAGGCCATCCTGCAGCCCTACAGTCAGGCGCGTTGTGAGCTCATGCAGAATCAGTACAACAAGCTCCGCGAGGAGGAAGACCACTGGCAGGACGTGAGTGCCGCTGGGGGCCGGGGGCCCGGGGGCCTGGGGCTCACACTACAGCTGGGGTTGGACTCCTAGGGACCAGAATAATTGCTAAGGGAAATACTCAGGGCAGCGACACAATCCGCCTCTAGTCAAATAACCATCACAAAGAAAATTCCATGAAGACGACTTTGGTTTGGTTTCGTTACTGACATCTGTCTGTGGGTTGAGGTACTTCAACTGGGACTTAGAAATGAGGTACTGTGCAAAAGTCTTAGATAGGCAGGAAAATTATGTTTAAATGATCTTCATGTTGGTGTGACAGTGCAGTATTATGTCTATCAAAGTGTATCCGCCATTTCAAGAGCTCTCTTAAAGTCACCCCAGTATTTGCAGCAAACATCCAGTACACCAGTGCATTTTTTTTGATTCGACCACTAGCACACCTCATATGGCTAATCGATACCTCGTTCATTTTTTTTTTTAGCTCATTAAATTAATTAAATTAGCTAGCTGGTGGTGAAATTTAAAAAACACATGGAGTTGGCATGAGGTGCCCCTGAGGAGAAGGCTTGGGAACCAGGGGGTGTTCATCTAGACGTCCAGTAAGATATCAGTGACTTTTTGGAGAACTGAAGAAGTTCTAGTTAGATTTTGTTGTGTTACGGTTAATCTGCATATGTTGCGATGTTAATTGTATGTATATTTTTGAGCATATATACATATACTACCGAGATTGATAGCGTTAAGCATTTTCTTTGACTGTCTACGACTGTGACGGTGATGCTGACGTTGGTGATGCCGACCGCATGGATGGTGACGGTGGTGACTCTTGCCGTCACGCGCCGTAGGATCTGGCTCGCTGGAAGAACCGCAGGAGGAGCGCCTCGCAGGACCTGATCAAGAAGGAGGAGGAGAGGAAGATGATGGAGAAGTTGATGACTGTGGATGGGGCCCAGGGTCACCGGAGGAAGAGCGTCAAGACCTACAAGGAGATAGTGGAAGAGAAGTAAGCGATTTGTTGATTGAAAGCAGAGGTTTCCTGATTGGTTCTTCTACACTAGTGGCCAAAATTGTGGAAGCACTTCCAATTTTTAGAGATTGCAGAACTCTATCCAGCTGTTTCTCCAGTTACTTATTTAATCATCCAGTGTTTGATATTCGTAAACATTCTTTGGTTGTTTATAAACACTACTGCCAATATTCGTGTAGTAATTTTTAAAGCGTACTGCCAAAAATGTCAGGTCTTTCCACAATTTTGGCCAATAGAGTAGATCTGAGCCCCCCTCACTACCTCCCCCCCCCCCAGGGAACGGCGTGAGCAGGAGCTGCACGAGGCGTACCGGAGGGCGCGTACCCCCGAGGAAGCGGCCGCCGTACTGCAGCACTACGCCCTACGCTTCACCATCAGCGAGGCGGTGCTGGAACGCCTGCAGCTGCCCAAACAAGCGGACCCTGGCACCCCCTCAGCCGAGCCCTCGGCCCCCTCGCCGCTGCCACAACCGGCCACCCCGGACCTGCCCCCGGGCCCCATGAAGAACCTCCGGCAGCAGTCTGCCCCCGTGCCCAAGTTCACGTCTACGGTGGAGGCCACTGTCGTGGGGGTGACCCAGACACCGACCACCGCCGCCGCCCCCCCACACCCGCCAACTCGCATGGCCCTACCCAAGACTGTGCCACTTTTGGCCCCCAAACCCTACATCACGCCCAGGAGTTCGCAAACAGGTCTCCGGTCCATTAAGGTAAGCTCCACGCTGCCCCTTGTGGTGAATGTTTCCCCAGACGCTAGAGCTCTTGTTCTGGGCTGTTTTATTTTTGTAGGCCCAAAAATGTAGTCTTTCTGCAGCGGTTCTTGTCCAGCATCTTTATTTTGTCAAAATCGAAATCAAAAACGAAGTGAAAGTATCTTGTATTGTCAGCTTCAGATATATGATGCGTGGGATCACACACTGAGTGAAATTTTTTTCTTGTCAGTAGATAAGTAATAAATGGAATATAAATACTAGGACATATAAGCAAAAAATACATGACATTAAGACAGAGAGACACAATAAACCTCTTCGTGTGGAGAAAGTCTGCAAATTGGTACTGAGGTTTAGCATGGAAGCAGACTAGATTTAGATGAAGAGTTATGAGTCCACGGTTATTAAACCATTTTACTGATATAGTCTTAGGCTTTAAGGGGCCAGATTGTTCAGCAATCAAATAGTCTAAATGTCTGAGGATCAATCGGTTTGCAAAGCTTGCTGTCTCTGTTTTCTCGCACCATCATTTGTGCTACAGGTCCTGATTAGTGCTCAGCAATTGCCCAAAGGACAGAAACTTACTGTGTTACAATGTTTCCATTCATGGACGAGTATCTGAATATCTTTTTGAAGTCCTCTTATACAATGATTAATCCACCCATTTGTGGCCAGTTTGCAGGTTGCTAAGACCTATGCTGTTTCTAAAGTCCCTTCTTCATTCAGATCCCTTGTGAGATAAAGCATAATAATATTCTTACTAAAATGTTTTTTAAATTTGACGGCTTGTCAAAGTATAATGCTAATAATGCACATGTTCTTTAGTCTAGAAGCAGTGGTGGTGGGACCAAGCAGCTAGAGGAGGCGGGACAAGATATCTGATTGGTTGGTCCCGCCTCCTCTACTTGCTTGGACCCACCTCCTCTAGAATCTGATTGGTTACCTCTCTGACCCAATTTTTTTTTTTCTGCCCTCAGAGTAGAATTCCCATGAGTGTGGTTCTGAGCTGGTTCAGCCTGAGGATCTTCATTTTAACTTGGCCATTAATTCAACCCAGATTTTTAAAATTCTGAACCAAATTTATTTAACCAAAAAAATGCCGCAGCAATAGCAAAATATCGCTGCAATGAAAAGAGGTTTTACGATGTCACCTACTTAGCTACTGTTTGTTTATATTAACATTTTATTCATGATTGTCTTTTGTATGGATTACTTTACGTCGCTAATCTTAACTTAACGTTGGTAGCTCGTTTTATCTTGTTGACACTTACGTATTTGCCTTTCTGTCAACAATCCACATAAGTCCATTTAAAACATTAAGCTGCTCACGGACAGCTGTATAAAGATTGTATTTGTGGTGCAAAAGGTGTCATTATGTTGTTCTAGGTATATTTTGTAAAGTAGTTTCTGAGAAAATGCATTTCTTCACACTGCTGAAGTAATGGATTTTTGGAGATGAGTGTTTTTCATCGGACAGCGACAATATAGGATATCAGGCATCCCACCATAGATGTACTGATTTCAGGGAGGTTGATGAGGGACACCCCATCCCCGAAATGAATGACAGAGGTAACATCTTTCAGTCAGAAGAAAGGAAAACGAGAGAGGGGGGAAAAAAGCTGTATAAAAATTTGGATTCAGATTCTAAATGCTTTTATTATCCCAGAGGATATTGCTTGTGAATACAGACTGCACAATACACAACTACACGATAAGACAAAAACAGACAATAGACAGTGCACATAAAACACAATACAGTGCACACAAATGCAGTGCGGTACACGCAGTGCACACAAATGCAGTGCGGTACACGCAGTACACAGTCAACAGAGAAGGAGTGCTTGATAGTACCACATATGTACTTGTATATGATCTGTAAAAACATATAAGTGAATCAGCAGAGTTCAGCTGATTTTATTCAGCCTGATCTTCAGTGATTTAGTGTCAGCTGAGAGATCCATTAGTGTGGGGGGGGGGGGGGGGTGCTGCCAGTGGCCCTAACGATGAGCCACGTCCTGTTCTTATCTCCAGGCAGATGGGATAGTGCGCGTGAACGGGGAAACGGGGGAGGTGTCCAGCAGGCTGGAGAACAGCAGGGGCAGAGCCAAGGACAATGGGGCGTCGCCGGTGAAGGAGGCGGCCTCCCTGCCTCAGGCTCCGCCCTCCACCTTCAGCAGCCCCAAGAAGGAGCCCGGGGATGAGATGGGAGGGAAGGACGTCGGTCTTGGTGCCCGTGTTGAGCCCCCGGCCGTGCAGGAAGCCGCCTGCGTCACATGTCTGGGGGAGCCGGAACAGGCCACGCCTCCAGCTCTCACCGAGGTGGAAGCCACACCCATCAGACCAACCTCCCTCCCCACGGTAACGGCGTCCGTTTGCCTGATACTGTACAGAACAGAACCGCATTTAGGATTGGAAACTGTATTCCCTCTGAAAGATAATATAAATTCTTAACGCTAGATTCCTTGTGGTCCTTAATGGTTTAATCATAGGCGATTTTACCGGGGGTGCACCCCCAACTGGTCAGACGATAATGCTATTTGAACATATTAAGTTCCATAAAATGAAATTATATTATAATGTTATATTTGAATATGTGGCTTGTATGGGTGCAACAACCCTGTTTGCCCACGGTTCGGTATATATCGCGGTTTTGGGGCCATGGTGGCGGTAAGGTTTCGGTATCCTTTTATAATCATATTTAAGAAAAAAAAACACATCATCCTTTAATTAAGCAATGAACGCTTACAAATAACTGTATACTTAGCTTGGTAGCAACATGTTTACTTAACTGTGTAACGGTACGCGGTATATTATCGAACTGTTCAGTACGCGCCGACGGTCCGTCATTTTCCTTTACGTACTGACGTGAATATGACACAGCTTATTTTCGAGGGCTATAAATAGCATTATACAGCAGCAGATAGTGTATCAAACAGTTCAGTAACATATCGTGTGCCGTTACACCGCTATTGGGCTGTATTAGTCGCATCAATGTTTAATAATAATTTACTGTATTTTCATAAATTCATTTATGTGGATGAATGACTGGTTGGGCTCTCTCAGTCTGCACCCCCAGGGAGACGGCAGCATAGTCACCCGTGACCACAGTATTCTATATTCATAGATATAGATCGTCTTCACTTCTAAATTGGCTCCGCCTCCAATTCTGTAACAAGCTAGATGCTTCTTTTGGAAAAATGTAGAATTTCATTGGATGAGGATGATGAGTCACCGAATCTGTGGCCCCTCCCCCAGGACCTCCAGAGAGAGAGTGTGGTGTCAGAGACTGCTGAAGTCGGCTCTGCAGACACGCAGGAGAGGGAACCTGCAGCTGCACAGCAGCCACTCACAGGTAGGGAGAATGCCGTCATTTTCCCCCATGCATACACGCCACCCGGTGGTGACTTTCAGCAGTGCAGGTCGTTTCAGATGGACACGGACAGTGTTGGCTTTTTGGCATGTACCATTTTCATGGGCCGATAACCACATTAGTACAGGTGGAAGATCTTCAAACTGCACTAGTCTAACAATGGTGCCTGACCTCAAACCAAAGAGGGCAGCCAGAGTGATTATGCACCTACCTGACGTCCATCCATCCATCACTCTCTCCGAATCCATGATCCATCAGATCCATCTGATTAAAATAAAGTTGGATAAAAGGTCATACGAATCATGCACACTTGCATCCATTTATCGTGCACCCTCGACTCAGCTACTTGTCGTGTGTAAAAAGCGCCTCTGGCTGAAACGGGACATGGGGCTGCTGGGTAAACCATTGCATTCTGGACTCTGGAGGTGATGAAGAGCAGGACGCGGCTTCAGCCGAGCAGGAGGCTGAGGAGGAGGGACCCCCTGCGAGGATGGAACGGGGGTGTACGGTGACCACCACCATCCTGACGGAACTCACTCAGACACAGGTGGGTCACACACACAGAATTTCCTGACGTTGATGTAGAAGATCCAGGAAAATTTACTTGACGTTCAGTAGAAAGGTTAAAGGTCACCCCGTGTCATAGGTTAAAGGTCAACCATGTCACAGGTAGGGTTGGACGTCTCACTGTGGCTGCTAAAGATGAGCAGAGAGGTGTAGCATCTTCAGGCTTGGGTCCTGTTCAAGGGTAGGATCACAGCTGGTCATAGTTGGTCACACCAAGCCATTTTGGGTCACTGTTGATCGCAGCTGGTCGTAACTTTTATATAAACTTCTCAGAGACAGATGTGATACAGGGTAGATGAAACTCCCCACATGTCTGGACTGCATGACCAAGTGAATGTCCTTCCAGATCCTGCCCAGTAACATGCCAGAGACGAAGAGGGCTGGGGACGAGGAGGCCTGCTCTCCAAGGAGAGCGGAGGCACCCCCTCCCAGCACCCAACCACCCTGTGAAGCACCTGCGTCAGGTAATAGTGCCACACTGTGGCTGTTTACGGAAGTGCAGCCCGACGCAGGGTAATGAATCTGCGAGGGGAGCTGGAATGGAGGAGACAGGAAGTGACATAATAGGCACTGCTGGTTTATAGGTGATCGATGCTTCGGATTCCCTCATTCTTCACACTCCGTTGCGCTCTCCTGCTCTGCATCTTGTTTCTCTCTTGCTACATTTCTGATAGCCAGCTCACATTTTTTACGTCTATTTCCCCTTCTTTTCTCCACGTCCTTGACCCGTTCTGGGGTTGTGGTGTAGAGTTGGCTTACAGTGCCGGTAACTCTAGGTTACGCTGGGAGTTCTTCACGTTGCCAGGTAACAAACCCCTCTCTGATTGGCTGGACGGGAATTGTCACAGGCCAGCTGACAGTGTGTGGCCCCGCCCACTCTGTGTGTCCTTCCTCAGTCTCCACTCACTGTCCCTTCTCCCCCATACTGTATTTGTTCCCCTGAATACAACATAATGTTCCTTTGAATGGTGTATATATCCTTGTGTCCTCTAAGACTTGTCCGGTCACATGGTGTCGTAGATGCTGGTATTGCGTCCACCCCCCCCCAACAGACTATAACAGCAAATCAACAATATGGTTTGCTTACTAACTCTGCATCTGTCTTGAACGATTTGAGAACATCCCTACTGTAAATTTATTTCTGGTGCAGTCATTCTTACGGGAGATTACAATAACGTCAATTTCTCAAATTTGTTTTTCATTTCAAAAACAGAATAAGGATTATTATGCCATAAGCAACTCATCTATCTATTAACTTAAAGATGCCGCCTTGCTTTCCGTATAGCAGTGAGTCCCGCCCACTCTTCGGTACCTCGTTGTAGATCCAGCAGACCTTGGGGGCGACTCAGAATTAAGGTCATGAACAGGACCGCAAAGCAGCATCACTTTGCGGGAGACACTGTTGAGTGCGATGTCTGTCTCCACTCCCACGTGTCACCCAGATCCTCCTTGGCGTCATCGATCTGTCTCTCTGTCCTGTCAGGCGGACATGTGTCGAGGGAATACGCTTGGGTCACCGGGATGGGCCTGGGTAGCTGAATTGTCCATGTGCTGATGTGGCATCTCCTTTCATAGGTCCATGTGGAATTGAGTTTAGGTTAATGTGAGGCTAGTCGCTACAACGGATGCACCAGACTGAAGGTCCAGACTGTGTTTGGAGAGCCTTTGACAATTCAGCTACCCTCCACCGTTGGGTTACTTCATGTTGATCCCTTCCCTATAAGTCTAACGTTTTAACAGCCGTGTGTGTTCCTTTCGCCGTTTTACCAATCGCACCTCTTCTCAGTGTTAATCTGTAAGAACGAGTTAATCTGAAAGAAGAGTTTAGCAGCTGTGTTTTATAAAAAGAAAATTCAGATTCCATAACAGGATGCATTTAGAAAAGACAGATGTGGGAACGATCGTGCCGCAGCCTGGCCTGCTTCTGACACTCTTGTCTTCCCGTTTCCGACAGACGATCAGGAGAAAGACCTCGTAAACGTAAGTAGGCTTTCGGAATGTGCTGCTGTCATGGGCATGGATTCTATGGAAACCAAGCCTTGATGCAATGCAGAAGGATCCAAACTGACCACCTCAGGTTTTCCCATCTGGTTTTCAAGATTCTCTACAACAGCGCTAGTTAGATTTGGTATAAAACACACTCTTTCTCTGGTCAAATAACTAGCACAAAAAGCTGCATTTTGTAGTACTATTCTATAAACACAATTTTCAGTTTTTTCTTTAGCGCCACCTGTCTGTGGGATGAGGTAGTTCAACTGGGACTTAGGAATACAGTACTGTGCAAAAGTATTAGGTAGGCAAAGAAAATGATGCTTGAATAAGGGTGTAAAAGTGTGACATGTCTCGCAGTGTGTCAGCAGAGCAATTTCAAAACCTCTCCTGAAGTCACCCCAGAATCTGACGTTTTTAACTCAACCACTAGCATGTATTGATCGGCTAATCAATGCCTCATCGAGTTATTTAACACATCAAATTAATCAGTTAAGTGAGCTGGTGGTGAAAGGTAACCAACACATGGAACGGCTGAGGTGCCCCTGAGGAGAGGTTTGGGAACTGAAGCGGTGTTCATCCAGCCGTCCAGCAAGATACCAGTAACCTTTTGGAAAATGGAGGAAATTCCTATTAGTTTTTATAGTGTTACTATTCACTTGCATATATTCTATGGTTAAATTGTGCTTTTTTCCTGAGCACATGCACACTTGCTTCCCAAATAAATAGCTTCAAACATTTTCTTTGACCGCCTAAGGCTTTTGCTCATTATAACATAATGATTGAATACAGTAATTGACCAGAGTGAGTTGAAAATGACAGAAGACTACAAGGTCATTTTACCAGATGCGGAAAAGCTGTATTTAGGTCTGCTCTCCTTTCTCTCTGTTTATCCTTCCTGTTTAAATTCTGTCCAGAAGGCTCTGTAGCTCCCAGTACCGATGGCACAAACCAGTAGAAGGTAGTGATGGCCTGGTGCCTCTGTCACCTCTCCTCTCTCCTGTGTTGTGTGTCGTTGCGTCCTGCCATGTGCCTCTTATCCTGCCGCGTGTCGGCATGTTGGCGAACGGCCCTGTCAGATCCCCACCCCAGTGTTGAGTCTGCCCAAGCGGGTCGACCACTGGTCTTGGGACCCGGACGAGGAGCGCAGGCGTCAGGAACGATGGCAGCAGGAACAGGAGCGCATGCTTCAGGTATACGGACCAGCCGGGCCGGCCGGCCCCGCCCACCTGCTCAAAGCCCCCGCCCATTCCGCCCTTTGGCCCCGCCCACCAGCGGAGGTGACGGCTGGTTTGCAGATGAGCCTGGGGACACGCCCCCTCTAACACGCTGCTGCCGCCCCCATTCTCTCTCTGCTTATACACCGTATATAAGCACCCCCCCCCCCCCCCCCCCCCCCCCCCCCCACACCCCACCCCTGCTGGCATTGCCTGTCATGGCTGTCTCTGTCCCCCCGTGTCACGAACTCCACGCCCCATCCCGTGACACCATGCATGCCCCGTCGTGGGGGGGGGGGCCCTGTGCTAAAACGTAGCACTCGGCTGCGGCTTCTGAGTGTGCGTCCCACCCAGGGATGATAAAACGTCCGTGCACGCCATGTTGGGGTGACCCCCCCCAGCCGTGCGCCAGTTCCCACACTTATTCCCACCGGACCCGGACGTCGAGGTTAAACCTGAACGAAGGATCAGCTCTTCAGAGGCTGCCGACAGACGAGCGAATGGACGTTCAGCTTTGACTCCCTGTTTCAGCGGCCTGGCTTAGGTGTTTGTCTTTGAATGTATGGGACTGTCCCTTTTAGGCTTTTCAATGTTTTTCCGTCTTCCGTCTGCGTCTGAATCCTGTGCTGCGTCTGACTCCGCCGTCGGCCGTGCGGTCCTAGTGCCCTCCCCTCGGTTCGCCCCCGCCGTGTGTATGACCTGTGTGCCGTGTCCGTCCCCCGGCGACAGGAGAAGTACCAGCGGGAGCAGGAAAAGCTGAAGCAGGAGTGGGAGAGAGCTCAGAAGGAGGTGGAGGAGGAGGAAAGGAAGTACCACGAGGAGGTGAGAGCGGTGCTGTTATGATCCGTTTCCATAGCTACAGTGTTTTCCGCGTCCATGTGAGGTTGACGACATTCCGCTGTTTTCGCCATTATCTGGAGTCTGACCGGAAATCTTGCCGGTCGTGTCGAGCTTATTAGCACTTGCATTCAGCAGAATAAGTAGAAGTAGTTTGTGAAGCAGCTCAGTAACAGTTTTAGCTAATGCTGCTGCACAGGGTTCGAATTGTGTCAGAGGTCTTGGGGCGGTCCTAACCGTAACCGTTTCCCGCTTCATTTACAGTCGTTGAACAGGGTGGTAGTTTAGCAGGACTCCCCCCCCCCCCCGGCACATTTTTCCTTTCTTATGGGGGGTGCCTGAGTTCTTAAACCCCCCCAGGAACCCTTCGGTTCGAGCGCCGCTGTCTGGGTTGCCTATTTATCGTTACCTTCATGCCATGAAGGAGAGGAAGATCTTGGAGGAAACGGTGACCCCCCTGACCCCCGGGCTGCCCACCCTGCCCTCCTTCTTCGGCGACTCGACTGCACCCCCCAGCCCCCAGAACACCATCGTCCGCTCGCTGGCCGACTGGGAACGCAAGCAGGAGCTGCTGGAGAAGCAGGCTGTAAGGGGGACACACACATGCTTTCTAAAAGCCACGGAAGTATTGAGTTGCTGTGCAAAACTCTTAGGCAGTCAAAGAAAACGATGTTTAAATGATCTTCATATTGACATAAAACAGATATCATATCTGTCAAAGTCTGTCAGCTTAGCTATTTCAAAACCTCTCCTCAAGTCACTCCAGTATTTGCAGTGACCGTCCAAGACACCAGGGCTATTCAAATCACGGTCCTCGAGGTCCGAGCACTGCTGATTTTCCAGCCTTCCTTCACCTGTGACCCAGATGTGAAGCCTCTGACCAATCAGAATCAGTCATTATTAAACTAACTATTTGGGAGAACTGAAAACAAGGCCTGGATTTGGAATCGAGGGCCTGAGTTGAATAGCCCTGCAATACACCCATGTTTGATTTAGCACACCTCGTATGGCTAATCAATACCTCATTGAGTTATTACCAAATTAATCAGTTACGTGAGCTGGTGGTGAAACAAACGCATGGAATGGCTGAGGTGCCCTTGAGGAGAGATTCAGGAACTGAAGTGGTGTTCATCTAGCCATCCAACCAGATATCAGTAAATATTTGGAGGACAGAAGAAATTCCTGTTAGTTTTTATTGTGTTACTCTGACTTTACGTATGTTCTAATGTTAAATTGGGTTTTTTTCATGAGCAGATTTACACTTACTACCCATATAAATAGTTTTTAAATTTTCTTTCATTATCTAAGACTTTTGCTCAGCACTGTATGTGCTAGATATGTCTGTAATATATAATATGTTGTAAAAACCCTTACATAAGTCATATTTTACTTAAGCCAGGATTACCTTCCCGTACCATTAAAGACACCTGAAAGCAAAAAACACATAATCCAGTGTCCAGTGGGGTTCGCACACTGGTGCAGAGCTGCGTGTGCGACGCTCACTCTTACTCTACTCCCACCTGGTGTCTGCAGATGGAGCCACAACAGGACAACAACATGGCCCAGGACGCAGGAACCAGGAACGGGTCCAGGTGAGTGACGGAGCGTGGGGCACTGACACTCCATCCACCCTTCAGGCCTTTAGGTCACCAGCGTTATCATCTCAGCCTTGGGGGTGATATTACAGTCAGCTGCTTGCATTTCTTACAGGTGGAAAGTTCAGGTCCAGAAAGTAAAAATCCAGACCAAGATTTTCTTTCAACCAACCAACTGAGTATAAAGAGTCACAGACACAGAGTACTCAACTGGTTGGTTGGAACAAAATCTTGGTCTGGATTTTTGACTTTCTGGACCTGAATTGGCCACCTCTGCTTTCTTATACCCCTTTTATAATATCGTGTGTGAACCTGAGGACTGGAACTGTGGTTTATGTTTAACCCGGGACTGCCGGCTTTTGACTGGTGCCACTTGAAAATCTCACCCTCCGCAGCCCGACCCCACAAAGCACCGGCCAGACAACAGCGATCACACCGAGTCTGCAGAACGGCCAGCAAGCCCCGCTGGACCCCAGCCAGTCCAGCGTGCCTCAGCTGCAGTTCATCCAGGGTGAGCAGCAGGAAATGTTTCAGGCTGTGGTCTTGAGTGGGAGGAGCTAAGTAGGAGGACAGTGATTGGACAGTTTAATTCTCCTGGATTTACACTAGAAATGTCATTCGTTCATTCATTCATTCGTTCATGCATTCATTCATTTTCCTCCTCTTATCCGGGTTCGGGTCGCGGGGGCACCAGTCTGAGCAGGGATACCCAGACCTCCCTCTCCTCAGTCACCTCCTCCAGCTCCTCTGAGGGAATACCAAGGTGCTCCCAGGCCAGCTGAGAGATACAATCTCTCCAGCATGTCCTGGGTCCACACTGGGGTCTCCTCCAGGACATCCATGAAGCACCTCCCCAGGGAGGTGTCCTGGGGGAATCCTACACAGATGCCCTATAGAATGGATGAAAGCATGCATGCATGGATGGATGGATGGATGGGATTATTTGGTGATCCATGGATGTCACCTTGTTCTCTGGCCAGATGCATCGTGGGCCAGCAAGAGGCCTGAGGCTCAGCAGCAGGACGAGGTGTTTAAGAAGACGGCCTCCCTGGATCGCAACTGGAGCTCGCAGCAGGCGCAGTCGGGGGGAATGAAAAGGTGTGTGTGTCTCTTTAAGGAGAAACAGCCCAGCACCCCCAGGGATTAATATTGCCCAATTTGACAGTTTCAGCAGTTGCTGGGCAATCTCATCACTTCAGTCTCTGCTGCTGTGTAACTTGAAGCATTTTAGGGCCGATCACGATAAACTGGCTGCCACCAAATGCAGTTCACTGTGAGTTTATCGAACCTTTCTGAGCAGCTGAAAAGCCAAGGAGATGTATCACCCTGCCCACATCTCCTCACCCTGTCCACATCTCCTCACCCTGTCCACATCTCCTCACCCTGCTCACATCTCCTCACCCTGCTCACATCTCCTCCGCCAGCGTCATCTGCGCCCCCGCCATCAGAAACACATCATTGTGCTCTGTGATCATGATCCGTGTGCCGTGACACTGAATGTCGGCCGTGTGTTTGCCTTGTGTTTTGCCTGGGGCGGGGATTCTCACTGAGAGCCTTGTCTCCCCGGTTGGCGCCCCCTCCTGGCCTGGCTATGCGTGACGCTGGGAGTCCCATTCGAATGTCTCATCTGAGTGTCGTTCAGAGCTTCTCGTTGAGTATCGGGATGCCCTTGTTGTCCCCAGGTCTGGATCCTGTGAAAATGTAGGGACAAACCCATCTATGTCATCCCCATTCTCATCTGCCACCCAGCCCCCGTCTCCCAACAGGTATGACCCCCCCCCCACACACAGCCACCCTCACATGCCGTCTTCTGGTGGGAATCTGGCTGGATCAAACTGGATTGGCCATCAACCATGGAGACTCATTAAGTGACATACTGAGTCAGTCACATGTCCGTTGTGATCCTCTATATTGATGCACCACATCATCCAACAAAAGATTATTTTGTTAAGATACATGTGTGTAAATGTGTTGTGTTGTTAATATCACTCATTTTAAAAAAAGAGGCCCATTTTTCATAGCTCTGCACTGCGTGTCATTTCACCACTCCGTGTTGCCAGTGCGTCACGCGGGAAGTCGGGTGTGGACTGTATCGCCCCCTACAGGTCGGTGAGCGGGAAGAAGCTGTGCTCCAGCTGTGCCCACCCATTAGGCAAAGGTGCTGCCATGATCATTGAGACTCTTGGCCTCTACTTCCACATCCAGTGCTTTAAGGTCAGTGGAGGAGAACATCTTTCTGGTAATCTGTAGGGTACCTGCTGCAAGGTGCTGGGTCTTATTGATTTCTATAGGAACATGCTATTGCAGATGTCAAATACAGGTTCCTCCTTACTTCAGAAGCATGATGAGCAACATATATTAGGGCCATGTTTATTATCCATTATGAATGCTCTATGAAGCTTTCATCTATAATGCACTATGGATACCTTCATAATGCAGTTCAAAGCATCCGTAATGCTTATACCGACCATTATAATGCATTATAAAGGTGTCTATAATGCATTATGATGATTGCTTTAAGTGAAGTGTTTCCCAGTTCACCTCCTCAGCATAGTGTTCTGTGTCGGGTGGTAAAACTTGCTCACTTTATTAAGAACCAGAACTGGAGAATCTGTTAGTTGCAGAGGTTTAAAAGTTCAAGGCACAATAATTCTTTGACAGTCCCAGATTTTCTGGACTGAGGGTGTGTGAAATGCTGATTCGATCTCTCTGCTCCAGTGTGGGATCTGCAAGGGACAGTTAGGGGACACCAGCACAGGTACCGATGTGAGGATTCGAAACGGCCTCCTCAACTGTCACGATTGCTACATCAAATCTCGTGGTGAGTGAACGCACTGTGCACCGGCGCTATGCTAGTCAGAGATAAGTGTCAGTCGCATACAACTTTGCTGAACAATGTTGGGCAAATGGGCACCTCAAATGGAAAAGTTACATTTTGAAATATTTGAATTCCATTCATCCTGTGAGCACTAGTTCTGGTCAGGAAGCCAGTAAGGCTGAAATACAGCCTGGGTGGGATGCCAGTCCATTACGGGGCACATATAGCGGCCTTGAGGTTTAAGGCAAAACTACTATCTGGTAATTCCTCACAGCAGTGTACTGTACTTGGAATATTATATTTCTTGGAAGCCTACATGTAAATATACCGTAAAAGGGGAGGGGTTATGACAATTCCAGAGGCCCCGGAACGACAATGACCCTTAAAAATTTGGAAAATTATTGAATTGGTCTGGGTGTGGCGCCCAGTGTGATTTTCGTTCAAGGGCTGCAACATCTGTAGTGGTGCCCCTGCATATTCGTGTTTATAAACTCAATTTTATAAAAAAAATCTGTTACTGCAATCAAAAAACTAAAGATGCCAAATGTCTTGTATTTTGTTTGGTTACTTATGGTTAAGGTTGGGACTGGGTAGAGGTTAAGGTTGTCATAGCTGGAATTAGGGTTATGCCCATAGAAATTAATGGACAGTTCCCACAAAAAAATGAGTACAAGTGTGTGTGTGCGTGTCCATGTATCTAAGTGTATATGTGTTTATATTGTCCCATCTTTAGGTTACAAATATTACATTGTAACAAAGTAAATTCATCATAGCCTAATAAAATGCCTGTTACAAAAGAGCCACACATTGCAGTGATTCAGAGCCAGGCTGGTTAACTTAATGTACCATTTTGTATTGCAGCTGCAGGCCAGCCTACCACTTTGTGATGACCCTTGACCCTTGTGATGACCCTTGACCCTAGGATAGGACGGTGAAGGGAACCTGAATGGACAATCGCCAATGGGACATGAATTAGGCAGAGTCCTTCCCCAACTTTGCAAACCCCAGATTTTTTCCCCTTACAGCTGACAGAGAATTGAGTTTTTTTTTTGTTTTGTTTCACAACGAAAATATGAAAATCCCCCGGTTATTTAGTTGGTTTTAACAACTATGGTGAGTTTCCATGGTCTTTTCTACAACTGGTCGTGTGACATGGCATTTTTAGAAATGTATTATTCAATATAACGTTTTTTTTTTTACTTCACATAAAGTTCTCAGTTTTTGCCAGATCTCTTGAACAACATCAGAACCCATACTGTAAACGTATATCCACATTAAAATAAGCAAGCAAATAAATGCACACAGTGATGTTTTTAAAGATACTGAAGCAGTTTCTTGGTAGAGTTTCACGGTTGCTTTTTTCAGCGGGCACTCTTGGTTCCAGCAAACAAAGCTGGAATCTTTATCAGATAACTGTGTTTGATATTTGATCATAATGGAGAATGTTTCACTCTACGAAATGTGTATATGCATCGCAGCTGTCTGTTTCATACTGTGTACTGCCGACTTGTGGCTAAAATTCTTATCCCTGGTGTTATGCGCGAATCTCGGTTCGTACACGGCAGTTATATTAGCTAAGAATGGAGCACCGTTGTTTTCAGTTCATTAGATATGACAAAAAAAACTGCATTGAATAAGATGGCCGGATATTTGTGACTCTCGTTCAGTGTGTGTAGTTCGACGGAAAGAGGATTTTCAAAATTCATCACTAGACGAAAATGTATATTTTTGGAGTATGGATCAGCAAGACATTTTGTAATGCCTTAATCGTACACTAATAACAACCGATATTATTGTTAATTTTTGGACGTGTAGCAGTTTAAGTTGGAGAGTTCCAATCGAGCTAATAAATTGCGGTGGTTTGAGGATATATGTTTCATGTTTTCAAAATACCAGAATTATGTAATTTGGTTATGGCTGTTGAATCCGATTCAATATTTAATCTGCCTTAAAGTGTGTTGTTAAAGGCAGGTCGAACAGACGTTTGGTTTTGTGAGGATATACAAATGTATGATTCCGAGGTAGTTTTTACGTGTCGGATTGAACCACCTTTTTCTTTGTTATTTCTTTTGCTGGTCTGATTTCAGTGAATATTAATTAGCCCGCTAACGTAGCAGTAATTTATTTAAATAAACACAATGCATGATCGCTCTTACGTTAATATTTCCCCAGTGGCATACGCCCCTAAAATGTTTCGGTTTCGATTTGATATACTGCGGATTTATTTTAGGTAACATTACATTAAACCTGTGCCTTAGGAATGCAACTGATTGCACACATCATGTAATGTTGGGTCTCGAAATTGAATCCAAAGATGATGTCTTTGTATCGGCAGAGGCTGCATTCTGCTGACATCGGTCTGGCGAAGTTGTGCACAAGCTAAAATAAGCGCTTTTCTGTGATATGTACCTTTCTTTTATTTATGATTGAATGAGCTCTCAGGCAGGAATTTCATGTTCCTAGACACTTCCAGCTCGACTGGTTATTTTTAAAAATGGTGTATTCACATTATACACTATGCATTATACAGCAAAAGCAATCTCGCGCGCGCGCTACTGTAAAACGTATTTTACAGTAGGTTTGATACATGTGTGAGTTAGTCTTGTTTGAAGTTTGCTACTTTTGAGAAATGGCAAGAGGAAGGGAAAACGTTCGTCTCCACGCGAATCGTTTTAATGAACCTGAAGCACAGATGTACCAGCAGCGGACCCACTCTCATAAACGACATTTGCCAGACCATTTCGCCATTGATCTGTCCGTTCGTAGCTGCCAGAGATAAATGTATCGTTGGGGATTTCCCTCAACCGAGTGTATGTATGCTTTTACATTTCCAATGTATGCCTAACCGTTCCCCAGAACTTATAAACCAGTGAATATCTTGCAGTTCCCTTTTTCTTTTTCTATACAGCTTTGCAGTCGAAACCCAGTTTAGTTTCTCCTGTTATGCAGTATTGTTTAAGTTCTGCTTATGTATTACGTTTACTTAAAATATGAAAGGTATGAAGCGAAAGGGAGATGGGGCAGTAATAAGGCAATAATCTTGTGTAATAATGTGTGGGAGGAACACTTGTTGAAAATAAGAATGATACTTGTTTAAGTTCTGTATTTATTGTGATATTGCTCTGAAAATAAACAATCGATTTAATAGATAAGAGATGTTCAAATGCAATGGCTTTTATAGCAAATGTTATGTTTATGTTTATAAATAAAATGTTTCAAAAGCACCGTTTAGTAGGCCTGTTTGTTTTTGTGCATGTGTCCGTGATTGGAAGGTCGCTGGGTCCGAACCTGTGGCTGATAGAGTGGTTTCACCGTTGGGCAAACCTTGAGCAAAACCCTTAACCCCAACTGCTCCACGGATTGGCTGACCCTGCTCACTCCCTTGTGTGTGTCTGCGAGTAAAATGGTCTGCGAAACTACCGGAATAGTGCGTCCCTCTTTCACAGCTCTCTCCATGGTGCTGAAACCATTACGTCACCGCAAACGGTAGGTTTTAGCTGTGAAAACACGAAAACACTCAGCCCCGCGATTGATGTTGCTTAAACTGAACACGCAGAACGTATGTGCGTGTTTCATTCAATTTGGTTATTAAATCATTTTAGATTGCATAATACATGTTTAGTATATTTAACATTTTAATGAGCATTAAAAATTCCGAAAGAGACCACAGGGGGGCACTGCATCACATAACGCTTGATATATCTCGACCGTGTGCTATGGTTTACCTGTTTAAATGACATTTCCGTAGTGCTTTTAATTTAACTGAACAGTTACGTCTTAATCTTTAATTGTTAAAAACTGAAACAATGCATCTAACTAAATACAGGATAGCAATATAAAAGGAAAGAATCAACACACAATGTAACTTTACTTATAATTTTATCAACAACCAAGTCAATGTTACACTTCTGGAAAACTATATATGCACATGTAGAAATATTTTCTTTTAAATATAAGCATTCATTATACCTACATATAAATAAATTTAACTCCTGAACAAAGTCTGAAATGCTCACCGAAAACAATCGTAAAAGGGACATGCAGATGAAATGTAATAAGTTACAATGGTTGTACATTGTTGTCTTTATAGAAAGAAATAAACCCGTGAGGACCTTTTAAAAAAAAAAAATCAAAAAGACTCGTTATAAACTACAGGGAAAACATATCCTATGATCAACTATTGAATTCATTTTTATACTTGTATTAACACTATACAATTGAGCAACACAAACACAGCCGTAGAAAGACACACAAAACGTTTACGTACTTCTGTGAACAGTGAAATGTAATTTGTGCCTTTGGTGAAAATTATTAGAACTAAAATATTAACAGTCATGGGAGGGGGATCCAGGTTAGAATTTAACAATCAACCAACGTTGTGACAGGCAGCTGCTCTAGCCACTCAAGTGCTCACCTAAACACCTCGATATGCAATTTAAAAACATTTTTTTTTAAGTCCGGTGCAAAATGGATCGAGAGCTGGCAACACAACCGACAGGAAGGACAACCAAAATGCCGTGTAACGGTCTAAATTGATCTTGCAATTTTTTGTGTTCATCTTCCTTTCGACATCAGTCTCCAGTATGTTCTGACGTTTCCTCTTGTATTAGTTATGACAGTGCACTTTACAGAGTTAATTCGGATTTTTGTTGTTGTTGTTGTTTGTTTTCATTTGAAACGTCTTTTCGCCAGTGATCAAAACATGCTAGTTTTTACTAAGGCGCATTTGGCTCCGTTTTGTCTCTGCAAAGAAGACAATACGCTCGCGAATGGTCCACCTAAGGAGTCCGGAATGGACGTGATGGTGCTTGGGGTAGGTGCCCATCCCTGATTCGGTGCAGTAACCCCTAGACCTCCAGCCAGTGACGTCTTCACCTGTTCTACTGGACCATTAGCGGGGTTAACCTGACCTCCAGTCGGACTTGGTCCCCCACAGCTAGTGTTGGGATTAGGGGTGGGACCGGGACCGCCTGTACTGTCTGGATCGGTAACTTTCGGTTCTTTGCTCTCTTCGTCCCTCGGGTCCGACTTCTTCCCAGACGATCCGTTCTTCGCAGCCGCAGCCGCCGCAGCCGCGGCCCGTTCCTGTTTGCGGAATTTCGCTCGTCTGTTTTGGAACCAAACCTTCAAAACATTTGAAGTTAAATGAATAAGGATATCTACAATTGCAAAATAAAATGCAGCCTTTTCTATACGCAAAATAATTTTGCTTTTATATTATACATTTAAAATTTTAATTAACGTTGCATGATAGTCAACTGTATTTTGCAGTCCAGTGTTTGAGATATTAAAGAAACTGTGCGACTGTGACGTCTTAGCAATTCATTTCTGTTTTCTGAAGTATAATGGTTTGCCGGAAATATACACAGAATTTGTGGCTTCGGGCTTAAAACGAACCTGCACTCGTGCTTCCGTGAGGTCGATTTTGAGCGCCAGCTCCTCTCTCGTGTAGATGTCGGGATAGTGAGTCTCCGCGAATACTCGCTCTAGCTCCTTCAGCTGGGCGCTGGTAAAGGTGGTCCGGATCCGCCTCTGTTTCCGCTTCTCGTTGAGGCCACCGTGATCCGTAAACAGTTTGTAAGGGACTGGAAGGCACAGAAAGGGCACAAATGAAATAAACAGATGCTAAAAATATTGTAAATGTACTGAAAGTCCAAAGCAATTCGTCACTATAATCAAGTTAATGGACGGTATCATAGAGAATACAGTAGATCCAGTAGCCGATCAGCTTTTATATATCAACATAAAACATATACAGCCATAAACAAATTTCATCTAATAACTATAGAACATATGGATTGAAATTGTAATTCAATACCGAAGATCAATTAATTGTGCACAGTAAAATTAATTTCCATTTTAAGTCAATTTCTTTTTAAAACCTGAAAACTGTTATAATGTTATAGTCCTTGTCGGTCATTGTAATGTAAAAGTGCTGTGACTATAATGAGCTTCAGTCTTTGTTTATTTAATTATTTTCTAAGCTTTGCGTCTCATCGCAAAGTAAATAAATTATGCCTATCATTTTGGCAGCTTAAGGTAATTTTGTTGGCGGTTCGGGTGTGACAGGGATAGTGTAACCGGGTAACTGAATTACCTCTTGCCTGCAATCGCTTCTAACGTGATAAATTCTTTCATTTGTGTAAGCAAATTTCGTTTGGTAAATACTAAACACATTTCCATTTTCAAATGCAATCACGGCCTGCTATATACCGGGAGAGAGCCTCTTTCACACTGGAGAAAGCTGGTAAGCGCTTACCTGCGGCGTACGGGCTGCTCTGGTGGTCCCGCAGCGTCCCAAGACTGCAGGAGCCCGGTGTGAGGGAGGGACACCCCGAGGTGGCCCCAAACGTGGTCCTGATCGGATTGTACTGAAACCCACCCGCTTGACTGCACGAACTGAAGTCCGCATAGGCTGATGCCAGGCTTGAAGTGTCCATTCCGGCCATACACGACTCATAGGCAGAGGAATTTAGGTAAGAATATTCCATTTTATACATTTGAAAAGGCTCGGTAAGACGAAAATCTGCAGTCTCGAAAATATCTATAACTCAGAGAGAACAGAAAATATGGCAGATGGAAATAAAAAGGGAGGAAAAGAGCGGGATAGATAACGGTTTTAATATTTGTTTTGAAGAAGGCTGGACTGGGTAGATGTGCACTGCTCAGCGCCTGCTTCCAAACTGGCCTCCTTTATAGGAACGGCGCCTTGTTTTATGAAAAGCCTCCTATGAGCCGCCTAGACCGATGTCTCTAGAGCATATACTCCTCATAATAAACTTGGCTCTTTCCACTTGGACAATGGCAAAGCGGTTGGTCTTATTGCTGGCGCTTTTTACATGACAATAACTCATCAGTCTATTGGGCTGGCACTGGGGACCGAGCTGTCCAACCTCCCCGATCATTGATTCCCCGCATCTCTAATTAGAATTTAATACCACACCATTACCCACAGACTCCCTCCATCCTCTCTTCTAACCATCTCCTTGCCCTTTAATTCAATCACACCACTTGGAAATAATGAAAGTTGGGTGACGATTCTCCCTGATCCAATTTTGCCCAAGCTTTTAAGCCTTTTAACTGATCATATACCTTGGGCACAAATTTTAGATGGTATTTTCCCGCCTCTTCACTTTTCTTTTTTTTTTTCCCGTCGGTTCTTGGCTAGGAGAGCCGCAGCTCGAGTGTCATACTATAGCTTCCTTGTAAGAATGTTACACGCTCAATTTAACAACAAACCTGCCCCCCGTAGAGCATGAAATCTTTTAAAGGAAACAGACAGTGAGATGGCGACTTCTAACAATTGCATGGGATGTCAACCGAGCCTTCCTCTCGATAAACAACAACAACATTAGTATTGTTGTTGTCGTTGTTATTATTTTTGTTCTTGTTGTTGTTATGTAAAATAAGAATGGGTAAAATAAGAATAGCATTGAAATTCTCAAACATGTACGCCATTATAGAGAACATTATGCGAAATTGCACGCCTTTGTTTTTAATATTTTACATTTATATCGCGCTGCTGAAAGCAGTCGAGGTTTTAAAAGTCCCGTTAAATTGGGTCTTTAGCTAGACTATTCGATTACGATACACTGCAGTTAATGGACTGTATAGATACAAGTTTGCCATAATGGCGGGACCGGCAGATGTAATGTTTTCGGATCGACATACCTTAAGATTCATAAGTTCATAACAGTGTTTATTTTCGCAACTCCCGCTCTATAAACACATCTACATTATTTTATGTGATTAAAATGCGTCCGTAATTGGTTTTATTGCGTTCATTATTCTCGTTATAAGCACAGTAAGTATTTAGTAATTAAAGTAACAAACTCGCCGTGTCATAATTTGCGCATTTACGCCTGCAGTATTAACGAAGCTAAGTGGCTAATTTTGTTATTGTTTGTTGTAGATCTTTTGCGCGTGTTCATCCTTTCAATAGACCTACCGCAAATTAGATTGAATGTTGGACTCATTTAAAATCAGAAATGCAAATTAAAGAATAAGCCACTTTGCAGTTTTACTTGTTTTGTCTTAAACGATTAGATCCCAGTTCCCAATACTATATCTATTCTTTTTAACGTTGCCCTAAAATACTTTTAGGCTTCGGTTTTTATTCCCATTGAACAGCGGCATTTTGTTCGAAATCATTTTTATATCTCCACATGGTTTTATTGCTACACTAGTTTTACACAGATGATTTGATAGAACGAGGGGTGTCAGTTATTTATAACACTTTTCTGCTCAACAATGAAAATAAATGTTCAGCCAGTGACAGTGGAAAATAAATTGTACGGACTTAACGGCTTCTTGTTTCCCGGTCTCCAGGCACATATAAAAAGAGGGATACGAAAACATGTGTTCTTGGTACCCTAAACTTATAGAGCAGATAAGACAGATGTGAATTCGGGCGATATTATCCAAGATATTTATCTAACTTTCACCCAGTATATGAATAAATACTTGGTTCTAGATAAGCAATTCTCAACCCGAAAGTCGAGGAACAGGCCTTTAGCAGGCACAGGCCCATGGATTTCTATAGCTTATTTGAGAAATGCTTTGCGATGTTAAAAATTGCAATTTTCGTTACTGAAATAATATGAGCAGCATTGTAAACGCGTTCCCTTGCTGGAATGAAGTTTCTTTTTAAGTTGTCCCGGATTTCCTATTTAAATAAACCGTTAGCTGAATCTGCGCGCCGCTACGGCGTTTCTTTATCTCCTTTATTCCTTCTTTTGCTGTTTGTTTCGTCCTGAAAGAAAGATAAATGACAAGAAAAGTTCATTCTTTCCTGACACATCCCAGCCCCCCTTATGTTAATGTTGTCTTTCTGCACGCGAGTCCTGGCTAAAAGTTGTACCAAATGGTTAATTTGATTATTGAAACCAAAGACCAACTGCTTTGCTGACTTCCCAACACGCGTCTGTCGAAGAAGAAAAAAAGAAACCATCTCTAAGAATTAATCTAATATAACACAAAGAACGGGTAAGCCGTTTACCATATATTTTTCTCAATCAAACAGAATTACCCTATAATTTTAGTCATCGATTTTTTTCTCATTCTTTTGGCCCTGCAGTGTGGTTCTAAAAGACTACAATCCACCAGCCACGGAATGGTCCACCTTAATGCATCTTTACGATGTCAATTGGTTCCAGGCGCAGAACATCAGAATAAAAGCAGAATAAAGCAGAATCCAACCAGGTATTCACGTGAACACCTATCACGAACCTCATTTCCGTAAAGTTTCATTACAATGGAATAACTTCGAATGAAAATTAATTGTTTTAGATTATTCGCTATAACAAGCACGCACGATTTAAGTGTAACTAAATGAAATGACAATTAAAAAATAAATTACCGCATAACTTAAAAGACACCTATGTACACGGTATAGTTGGATTTAGTGTTTAAAATACATCCGGCACGAAGAACCCACATTTAAGTTCATAACTGACAGATGATTTCCACGGACAATATAAAGTCCATAAGCGATTGGAATCCCTTTAGAATGCTTTAACTGAAGACATAAGGAATGTTGGTCGGTAAGAAACACGCGGGCAAACAAAATGCCATTGTACAGCTGCATCAATACACAAAGAACACAGAGAAGGGAAACAATAAAAACCGCGAGGAGCAAAAAAAAAAATGCTGTCAGATTAAACTTAACGTCTTACTTCATTTAAGTACATTTCCCTGAGGCGAAACAATAATAATTAAGGTTAGGGGAAATAATCGTGAAACCCAAGGGAACATAAATAAAATATTATATATTATATATTCCTTAGGGTACCTCTAATTCCTTTATTGCTTGATTTCTCAATTTAACGGTAAGATTTCCAGGCCATTTATCAGTTGATAATCGGTGTTGAGTCATATGTTGTGCGATTTAATACAATAGTGCGCTAGTGTATTGTAAACATATATATTTTGCATCCAAAAAAATATTATTTTTCATGTCACCAAGTTGGCTGATAATATAGGCCTAATACGAATAACACGTTTGGAGATGTCAAGTAAAATTTCATCTTTATTTATTTTTGCATATGAAACCGTAGGCTCTTTAAAAGTAGCATGCTCATAACTGTATATTCACAAATAAATGTTTAACCAATATGAATCTTTCAAAGTACTACAACTGGCTACTTATTTTCCCCCGAAAGGAAAAAAAATAACTAGCCTAACTTTATTGAAGCTAGATAATTACGCACATACGAGTCATGACAGATCTACAAAGCACCAGTCATTCGAAGAATGATGACACTCAACACGTAATCCCCAGAGTTTAATGTCTTTAAAGTTGTCCTTCTCTTTCCTGTAGTGCTTCTTACTGTGGTAACATCTGTTTGGAGTTCGGTAAGAGTGCGTTTGAACAGACGCACATATGTAAATTGACATCTTCCCCTCACCAAGAAAGAGGGTAAGATAATTTAATTTCCAACCATCCATTTTTTTTGCTATAAATCATCTACGGAGAATGTAGCCTACGTAAAATCCGTACGCAGTATGAGAACAATGTGAATCACAATGTATACTATTCTTAATGAAAGCCTTATCGGCAAATTCCAGGTCTAGGACGATTATAATGTTACATTAACAATTGTAAAATTATGTGAGGTGAGTATTAGTCGTTGTAGTTCTTCAATACTGGATCAAAAATATAAGTCTACGATTTAATTTAAATATGACCTTAATCGGAATATTTTAAATTAGTTTCACATTTGTGCGTTTAAGATTTGATAATGATGGTATTTATGCGATATCGGCTGAACTAGACATATTATTATACTTTCACAGATCATTTTTAGGAGACAGGGTACAGATTTTTTAGGCAAACGCACCTGCACCACCTACTGAAGGAATGCCGGACCGAACAGGGTGGTTTGTTTGTAGCCTTAGAGCCTCACGCCGGGGCTCTCCAAGTGACCGGGAGAGCAGGCATGTAGGGAGGAATTATCATACTAATCTCATTTTAGGGATAAAATTAGTAAACACATTGCCCTCAAAGGCGAGCGCTGCATTGGCAAGATGCCGGCTTGGAATCAATTACTAAATTAGTCCAAGCTCAAAGTCGACATTAACAGAAAAAATTGCCATCGACCTGTCTGAAATACGATAAAAAATATTCGATCATTAAATATATGAACAATGTTTGCAAATCTGATTCATAAAATTATCAAAAATAACAGAGTGCTCTGTCATCATTTCATCTTGCGCTATTTTTCGGGGNTATTAGGGTTAGGGATTTTTTCAGACATGGGGTCCGAATTTTTGCCTGGGCCCTGGGCTATAGCTTTAGGATAGCCAGCCAATTTCACTTTGCCTGGGGGGGGGGCGCTATTGAGGGCGCTCACCTAAGGCGCCACATCGGCTATGACCACTAATAAATCTGCCCCTGTATGTAGACATGCAGCTATTTATTCTGAATTTAACACAGACCCAGTTACTGAACAGAGAACACACTTCTCTGAGGTCAGCCTCTACTGGCTCACAAGACGTTGTTGACGGCTACAGTGATGGAGAGGCGCTTCTCTTGGTGGATCGGCGACTGACTGTCTCCCTCACAACCATGGGCCAGACGTGCTTCATACACGCAGCATCGCTTTATATTAAAATGGTGGAACCTTGTGAAAAAACACAAGGTCGCTTATCTGCCTGAGAACCTTCCATTGGCTCGATCTTGTACGCTTGTACCGACCAATGAAAATGAGGGTCAGTGGATATCACTATAATGCTGTAGGTAGACTGTCAGTGCAAAGCAGGCCTTTGTTGCCTTTGTTTGCTACAACATACCAACACACGTTACATTCTAGAATTGCGCGCATTTGTTACAATTTAAAATAATTTGATTAATTAAGGCAAAAAACAAAACAAAACGAAGCCCCCAACTCCTCATCTCCCCCCTGCCAGGATGTAGATTAGCCTGACTCATTACCTAATGTTCATAATCCTGCTTATTTTTCATCTCTGACAGGT